CACAGTAAAGAAAAGGGTCAAAACTTTTTTTACATGAAGTTTCTCAATTTTAGGTGATTCATGATTTCCGGAACATTTTCAACGAAAAGAAAAGTTTTAAAGTTGAATGAAATTATGCATGCCTAATCTGTACACTATGGATCTATGCGTATCAGTTCCATTTCTAATCAATAGTTACATTATCAATTAGATTTAATATTAACAATTCAAACAGTCTCCTAAACCGTAAAATTTTTTACGTTTTGTCAAAAATATATGTCATACTTGAGAGTGAATAAAATATAAAAGGAATTGTTGTGTACTCTTTACCTCATCGTAACAATTACTTAGGAAAATATTTGTGTTTATTGTAGTTGTTTTTGAACGTTCATCGTGTCGTAGTATCAACATCTTCGAAACACCAGCACCAGCCGCAAGATTCAACAAAATCACAGTTGGCATAAGATTTCAGCGTCACGTCGTTCGCGAAGTAATATGGCTACATCTTCGAGTTCCTCTAGAGAATGGCATCGCTGCAATGTATGCCAAGAAAGTTTTACGGGTTTAAGTCAATTAATATCACATGTGCAGACTCATGAGAACGAAAAGCGAAACGGAAAGTCAATTCAGTGTCCGGTGTGTTCACAAACATTTGGACGAAAAAACAGTATTGTAATCCACATGCGTACCCATACTGGAGAAAAGCCATTCAAATGCTCGATATGTACACAATCGTTTTACTACAAACATCATCTTGCAGGTCACATGCGAGTACACACAGGCGAAAAGCCATTCAAGTGCTCGATATGTTCACTAGCATTTAGTGATAAATCAAATCTCACAAGACACACACGCATTCACACTAGAGAAGAGCCATTCAAATGCTTGACGTGTTCACTAGCATTTAGTCATAAATCAAATCTTACAAGACACACACGCATCCACACGGGCGAGAAACCATTTAAATGCTCGATATGTTCACTAGCATTTAGTCATAAATCGAATCTCACTTCACACACACGCATCCACACGGGCGAGAAACCATTTGAATGCTCGATATGTTCACAATCATTTCGCTACAAACATCATCTTGCAGGTCACACGCGAATACACACAGGCGAAAAGCTTTTCAAGTGTTCGATATGTTCACTAGAATTTAGTAAAAAATCTAATCTTACAAGACACACACGCATCCATAAGGGCGAAAAGCCATTTAAATGCTCGATATGTTCACTAGCATTTAGTGATAAATCAAATCTTACAAGACACCGACGCATCCACACTAGAGAAAAGCCATTCAAATGCTCGATATGTTCACAATCGTTTCGCTTCAAACATTATCTTGCGGGTCACATGCGAGTACATACAGGCGAAAAGCCATTTAAGTGCTCCATATGTTCACTAGCATTTAGTGATAAATCAAATCTTACAAGACATACACACATCCACAGTAAAGAAAAGCCATTCAAATGCTTGACGTGTTCACTAGCATTTAGTCATAAATCATATCTTACAAGACACACACGCATCCACACGGGCGAGAAACCATTTAAATGCTCGATATGTTTACTAGCATTTAGTGATAAATCAAATCTTACAAGACATACACACATCCACAGTAAAGAAAAGCCATTCAAGTGCTCGATATGTTCACTAGCATTTAGTGATAAATCAAATCTTACAAGACACACACGAATCCACACTAGAGAAAAGCCATTCAAATGCTTGACGTGTTCACTAGCATTTAGTCATAAATTATATCTTACAAGACACACACGCATCCACACGGGCGAGAAACCATTTAAATGTTCGATATGTTCACGATTATTTCGCTACAAACATCATCTTACATATCACACGCGAGTACACACAGACAATAAACCATTCAAATGCTCGGTATGTTCACAATTATTTCGCTGTAAACATAACCTTACAAAACAAGCGCTGAGACACACGAACGAAAAACCTTTTCAATGCTCACTATGTCTACGATCTTTCCGCCAACAACACCGCCTCACAAATCACTTTAGAATTCCTACCAGGGAACCTAAACCCTACAGATGCACAACATGTCCACAATCTTTCAACCAAAATAGTTGTCTTATGCGTCACATAAACATCCATCACGGCACATATTGCTGCGACGAGTGTTCGCAAAATTTTACGAACAAAATCAGCCTCATAAAACACATTGGCTCCGAACACAACTATCGCTGCACTATGTGCCCACAAACTTTTGTCCGAAGTACTTTTCTTGAAAATCACATGAGGAGCCACCATCACTTTCCTTGTGACGAATGTGAACAGACTTTTCCGGATGCGGACAACCTCAGGCATCACAAACTCGTTCATCATTTTTATCGCTGTTCCCTATGTTCGNGGGGCTGGATCAAAAAAAGTGTATCAAGACTTTTTTCCGAACTCGCTGTAGTTATAAAGCCATGTATAAAGTTGTATACATTAAATAATGCCATTTGTACAACATAGCAACGTATTGGTGCGAGTGATCAATAGTTTTGAAGAGAGTAAGACTCGTTTGTTCTTTACTTTGATGTATGTTTTTATAGCAAATAATTACTGTTCCTTTTTGTAAATTAAATAAGTATTATAAATAAAATACAATTCATACAGTTCCTAAATGTTTATTTGTTATTAACATAACCATCTTAGATCATTTATCGTTTAAGTTATATTATTCATTTTATACATAATAGATATGTTTTATCACAAACTTTTTAGTTTAATTCCACCAGCTTCTTATTTTATCATTGATAATTACGAAGTGGTAAAAAAGTAGGTACAAACGCTTTTATTGTACGCTGTATGTGTGGTCTCTTCCTTTGGACTTTATTGATATGTTCCTGATTAAAAATTTCAATTAAAAACTTTCTCAATTTCTGTAATTTGGTAGATAATTATGCCAAAAGTCTTCCTCGATAGTTAAACTGTTACAAAATTATTCAAAAACTTGATAGTTGACTGAGTTGATAGAAGCGAGTAGATTACTTAATTACCAGAAAATCAAGTCATAAAAGTCGTGAATCGGTTTAATAAAGTTTGGGATTTTTTTTAGTTACGATGCAGATTTGAAATTATGAGGGTTGAATAAATCTGTGATGATTAACTGCACCCAATGATGGACTTAAGTTGATACTCGCATCCAAAAGATTTTGGAAAACTGTGCAATGAAAACCCTTAAATATTACTATTAATACTAAACATGACTAAACTCAAGTACACACCTTTTCATAGAAAATACGTAATGAGACTGCGTGCCCATTGACAAAAAATTGAATGACCTCTAGAACCAGAAAATTGTAATTTTTTATGGATATTTTTTTGGATATGCAATACCGTATATGTTTATCATTTTATTAATTTTATATTGGGCAGTCGATGCATGACTTAACAACATTAGATTTCGGATACATGATAAAAACTACGATTAACACAAAATTTATATCTACAGTAACTAAAGTCTTGACGAAACAGCACAAGTATTATTTTTTTATTTCTATAACTGATGCAACGATCAAATGCTGTACACCGCTACCCACGAATTAAATATCAATTATTGTATCATTTACAGTATCTGTATCATTATAAAAAATATGCGAAACTGATTTGGGGAACATTTTTTTTTTTTATACATTCAGTGCATTTGTCTTTTAGGCTAGCTGTCGGTTTTTCAATTCAATTGGAGGAGCTTACTTTAAAGAATATTCTTACATAGTTTTTACTTTGTAGTTTTAAACAAATAGTTAAGACATTGATACAACGACTTTACTTTTATTTGTGATTGTTAATCTACTCAATTTACATAAAATAGAAAAAAATAAATAAAGAATTAATTAATGGTCCAGAGACGTCATGCCGAAAGTACGTGGACAATACGACACCTATAGAAACAAGAAGGTTAGTTTTTAATTTAAAACAAAAAAGGCTACTTCTTTACAATAACTACAAAAAAGTTGTATTTTTTCGTTATTTACGAATAAATTGAGAATTACGTCATTTCNCAGGTACCTCATGCCGAAAGTACGTGGACAATACGACATCTATAGAAACAAGAAGGTTAGTTTTTAATTTAAAACAAAAAAGGGTACTTCTTTACAATAACTACAAAAAAAGTTATATTTTTTTGTTATTTACGAATCAATTGAGGATTACGTCATTCCCCAGAACGATACTTTTTTATTTGATAATATAGTTTTTGTATTTATTTACTCTCAGTAGTTGGAAAGTGTAATTTCCATTTTCAAACCATTTCAAAATTAGAGAATCCGCAGCAAAAAAAATACACTAGTTTTTAAGCAAATAAAATGTAGCTAAAAAAAATTTTTCTGATTAAAAAAATTACCGTACAGTTTACGATAAAAGTTATAGTTAAGATTGTTTGGTAACATCTATACTTTTACATAGCAGTAAATATGACACTTTTTTCCAAGGTGATTTTATATTAGAGGGAGTATCACAACGTAAGCTATTTCAAAAAAATATATAATTTAATATATGATTATACAAAAAATTAACTGTTGATTTTTTGATTGACGTAGGAGTCTAAACATTTTGAAAATGGATTTTCTCAATTTTAGGTAATTAATGAATTCTGGAACATTTTCTACGAAAAGAAACGTTTTAAAGTTGAATTAAATTATGCATGCCTAATCTGTACACTTTAAATCTAAGCGTATCAGTTTCATTTCTAATCAATAGTTACATTAATGATTGGATTTAATATTAACAATTCAAACAGTCTCCTAAACCGTAAAATTTTTCACGTTGTGTCAAAAATATATGTCATACTTGAGAGTGAATAAAATATACAAGGAATTGTTGTGTACTCTTTACCTCAGCGTAACAATTACTTAGGAAAATATTTGTGTTTATTTTAGATGTTTTTGAAAGTTCATCGTGTCATAGTACCAATATTTCCGAAACACCAGCACCAGCCGCAAGATTAAACAAAATCACATTTGGCATAAGATTTCAGCGTCACACCAATCACGAAATAATATGGCTACATCTTCAAATTCCTCTATAGAATGGCATCGCTGCAGTGTATGCCAAGAGAGTTTTACGGGTTTAAGTCAATTAATATCACATGTGCAGACTCATGAGAACGAAAAGCAAAACGAAAAGTCGATTCAGTGTCCGGTGTGTTCACAAACATTTGGACAAAAAAACAATCTTGTAATCCACATGCGTACCCATACTGGAGAAAAGCCATTTAAGTGCTTGATATGTTCACTCGCATTTAGTCATAAATCAAATCTTACTTCTCACACACGCATCCACACGGGCGAGAAACCATTTAAATGCTCGATATGTTTACAATCGTTTCGCTACAAACATCATCTTGCAGGTCACACGCGAGTACACACAGGCGAAAAGCCATTTAAGTGTTCGATATGTTCACTAGCATTTTGGAAAAAATCTGATCTTACTGTTCACACTCGCATCCACACTGGCCAAAAGCCATTCAAGTGTTCGATATGTTCACTAGCGTTTTGGAAAAAATCTGATCTTACTGTTCACACTCGCATCCACACTGGCCAAAAGCCATACAAGTGCTTGATATGTTTACTAGCATTTAGTCATAAATCAAATCTTACCGCTCACACACGCATCCACACGAGCGAGAAACCATTTCAGTGTACAATTTGCTCACAATTTTTTCGCTACAAACATCATCTTACAAAACATGCACATATCCACACTGGCGAAAAACCTTTTAAGTGTACTATTTGCTTACAATCATTTCTCTGTAAACATAACCTTACAAAACACACGCTGAGACACACGAACGAAAAACCTTTTCAATGCTTACTATGTCTGCGATCTTTCCGCCAACAACACCACCTCACAAATCACATGAGAATTCATACCAGGGAACCTAAACCCTACAGATGCACAACATGTCCACAATCTTTCAACCAAAATAGATGTCTTATGCGTCACATTAACATCCATCACAGCACATATTGCTGCGACGAGTGTTCGCAAACTTTTACCAACAAAATCAGCCTCATAAAACACATTGGCTCCGAACACAACTATCGCTGCACTATGTGCCCACAAACTTTTGTCCGAAGTACTTTTCTTGAAAATCACATGAGGAGCCACCATCACTTTCCTTGTGACGAATGTGAACAGACTTTTCCGGATGCGGACAACCTCAGGCATCACAAACTCGTTCATCATTTTTATCGCTGTTCCCTATGTTCGGAGTCCTTTAGTCTATGCATACATCGTTCTTCTCACATGGCCATTCATCATTGCTTCCGATGCCGTTTGTGCTGTCAAATTTGTACCACATACTCTGACCTCGAGAGACACTTGTGCTACGCTCACAATTTGTCGTTATTTGAGGCTTTGCTACTAACGTAAAAAGTTCAAACATATCATCAGCGGAAGGATTACATAAAATCAATTAAAGGATATATCTAACAAATGGATCATGCGTCATGGATATCGGCATATTGGGCTGACTTTTTTTAACTTGCGTTGTTTACAAGTCTTCCTTTTTTTCGTACAACCAATATTTTGAAATGCAATGTTTTTAAGATGTTTTAAGGCTACATAGTTATGTATACGGTTTAGTTCTTACAACCATCAAAAGGTTCGTTTCATTACTACAATAAATGTATCATTGTAAGGGCTGTTGTTATTTTCCTCTCCCAAGTTTAAATACTAATGCATTTTGACGTAGTTTCTGTCGTCATTGGAGCTCCAAGTCAAATGTCAATGCAACATTTTTCCACAAGTAATAATTTTACAATTATCAATGGACAATATTTAATTACCCAGCCTGATGGAAACACGAGCTGCAATACTATTTGTGCGACGTACTCAAGTCTCGTAAGTACAAGAAACTTTGCCTTTTCATGTCGTGCATAAAACTAATATTACGGGTTTCTAATAATTTCTTCAGGCAAAATTGCACCATCTTATGAACCTAATTAAATTTTGACTCTTGTATACGTCATGATTTTATACATTTTTCGTTCTAGAGTAAGGAAAAGTAAGAAAAGTCAGCTGAAAGTAAAAATGTATGTGAGATATTGAAGTGCTAGGAACGAATATGTAATTATTTCAATTCCCAAAAGTCGCATAGGTTTAACAAATTTTTTTTTTATTCTCATGACCACCAAATATAGTTTTTTTCGCTATATCTGCATTATTTACGAAGGTATAGCGATTTTAAGATTCCGATTATTTATAGTTTGAAAAATCAAAAATTTAGAGCCTAGCCACTACTTTTTTCGGGCTCTATGTGGTATAAAGAGCTAATATGTAGGATATAGAAATGTAAGTCACGAATATTTAATCATTTTAAGCAGTCAAACTCTCACAATTAAAAAAAAAAATTTTCTATATTTTAACGATCGCGGATGTCGTCCTTTTCGTGATACCTGCATTATTTACGGAGGCATAGCGATTTTAAGTTCAAAAATACCAAACCTAGAGGATAGCCATACTATGGCATGTTTATCAAGTACTGTTTCTGGCTATAGTATAGGAGAACTTTGAATTCACCGATAGATACAACATTAGATCTCCAGAAATCAGTGAATTGTCATTACAAAAAAAAATTAACGAGTATCAGTTCTTAAGTAATCGTTGATCAATCTATACAAACAACGGATGGATCATAAAATATTCAACTGAGTAAATTGAAGCAATATATTTGATGATAGTTAAAACGCCTCAATAAACGATCTACAGTACTTGTACAGGAAAACTTGTTTAAAAAAAAAAATTGTTTTTCCTTCCAGCTATAAAAATATGTGTGTAGACAATACACCCTCTAGCGAGCACGACGGTTATTATACATATATATACGTGGCGTGGCTTGACTCCCGCGGCTTCTGCAGATATAATATGGGCGGGTCGATTTGGCCTCTACCTATATATATATACATTGTACGTGTGGCTGTTCTTCGCGTTTGTTGCGCGCGCGCATCATATACCTCCTACTGTATATACATGTCATATATGGCTTTTGTCTAGCACACTCTCTTCTGACTGCGTACAACATATATATGCCTGTGTGCTTCTTTCCATGCTACACATACGTGATAACGGTTACTAATTGGCCTTTGTGAAAAATCAATTGTTTCTTGAGCTCAAAATTAATCGTCTACTTTCACGTGTGGTATACAGTGGACGTAGCGGTTTTTTATTTTTTTTTCATTGTATAGACAGCCAATAAGTATATTCGCGTGAAAGGGTTGCATGGCCAAACATGTTCATACGATTGATGGTACGTATAAAAAAGTCTAAGATTTTCGCAAGATCCACCGATTGAACACGGAGCAAAGAAAAACAACGCTAATTGTAACCGTTTTTTTTTTTTACCAATTCATCTGTTGGAAAAAAAAAAAATGTACAAACGAAACGTGAAACACTACAAATCCAATATTGTGTTACTTCAATCCTTTTTTTTTTTTTTTTTTACACGTACGCGGGTGAGTATAATTATCACACAATTTCATGTGCTCCATCACACGGTATAAAAATCGTGTTTTTTCGTGCGTAGATCATGAATTACTCTCACCAATAGGTGCGCGTGAAAAAATGTTAAAATTGTTACACGCTTCAAGTGGGGGGGGGGGAGGGTGGGGTTGGTAATTGTAACACAGTTGGATCTTTAGTGTAAATGATAACATCGACGCGTGTACTCGCACGAAGCGAGAGGGAAGGAGGAGGACCCGCGCGGAGGGAATTTATTGATCCGTGGACATATATATTATGTATACGCATGGAATCTCCGGTTACCGCGTACAATATATCATATACGTAAACCCATATACATATACATGTGAGCAAAGCTACCCGTATATGTATAGATGTGGAGCGAAAAAAACAAAAATGTCCAAACAAACAAATGACCATTGTGTGCAAGTGTATATGATATATACGTACACGTATGTCTAAAAATACGATGGAAGAGGAAAATAAAAAGAAAAAAAGTCCATTGGGTACCTATGGAGAAAGAGGGAGGGATGCCGGCGATAAGGGTTGGTTAATAGAAATATTGCCGAAGCGAAGGGGGGATGGGAGAGGGGAGAAATGACCGAAGGAGTGAAAGATTATGGCAGAAGTGAGCGCACAGAAAGAGCAAAAGATAAAAGAAAGAAACTGCGCGCATATACACACACACACACACACACACACACACACACACACACACACACGTATAAAGGGAGATGAGGAAAAGAGAACGAATGTAAGGAAAAGGGAGAGAGAGAGAGAGGGAACGCGCGGTGGGCAGCATCAGCATCAGAGCAACGGAGGGAGAGAGAGCGTATATACATATAACATACAAGGAGGGGGTTGATGGGTAGAAGCTTTTAGCCCGGCTAGATGGTGCCGAGATAACGGCACCGGTATATATAGTACGAGCGTCCCGAATGCCACATATATACAGTATACGCACACACGTATAATATTGGTCCTCCCACTCTTTTCTCTCTCTCTAACATACTCGTTTTGTTCATACATACGTGTATATAAGTTAGTTGTATCAAGGCATATATATGATAGGTATATGTAATAACTATATGTGTTGTGTATTATTATATGCACGTGCTTTATGCCCACAAATGTACATGTATGTATAGGCAGTGTGTACCGAAGAAACGAAGTAAGCCCACATTATCCGTCATTGGTGTTTATGATGGATGAAACAAAAAAATAAATAATAATCATACACTGTATAACAACGATGCGTATACATATATATATATATATATATATATATATATATATATATACCCTCTCGGGTGACGGAGCAAAATTATGTGTGTGTATGTGTGTCCCAGACTTGTGCGCGAGGGGACGTTTTGAAGATTTATTGGCGAGAGCGATAAACAAAAAATGATTTCGGACGCGCAGTGTCGTAAAACCCGCTCGGTCGAGTGTCCCCCGAGTGTAGGTATTATTATACATATACATATATCCACCGCATTACGGATTATATACGGGAGGAAGAGGAAAGAAGTATAACGACGTGTACCCCCCAAAAAGTGTACATTATACCTGTATATATATTATATACACAAACACAGGTAGGTATACATATACATGTATGGGGAATCTCGATAATAGCCAATGGTCGTGGCGTATACCCCGAAAAACACGGCTCAGGCATCCGAAAAATGTCGAAACGCTTCCTACGCGTCGGTCGTCGTCGTCTTGGCTCTCTCGGCGCCTCGTCACCCGGGCACCTATCGAATTAGTCTATCTGTCGGCTACTCCGTTTCTGCCTGTCTGTCCCCTCTGATAAACTCCCTATTCTCTCTCTCTCTCTTTTACCCCCTTATATGTATATACATTGGGGACGTATATATATATATTTATACCTACCTTTTAATCCCACTCGCCCTCTGTCTAAATATATATGTATAAGCTGCAAACTATGCATGTACCTCCCTGCGTTATCGCCCGACTATATAAAGGACCTCTTTTCTTCTTTTCCATCTCCTATGCTTTTGCATTCCTTGGATTCTTTGTCTTGGTCCGCTTGTAAATTATTACCCGGTGATTGTCTTATATATATATATATATATATGTATATGTATGTACATATGAAACCTCCCGCAGCCATGCGAACGGAAACCCACGCTCGACAAGATCGGCACGGAAGCCGCTCATCTGCTTTAACTTCTCCTGCTTCTGCTTTCAGGTGGTGCGTATGTATATACTTACGTGTACCAGACCAGGAATGCATATCGTAAAAATTGATTGAAACAAGATTAGGTTACATTATATATACCCTCGAGTCTCGATGCGATCCGAATTGGGAAAGTACGCGTATGCGTACCCCGATTATTTATGGAACAAGGATTATACAGAGGTGAACCTCGAAAAGTTAAAATTGGAGCTTTGTCGAATGAAAACGGAAGAAGAAGAAAAAAAAACGTTGATTCCAATTGTATACTGGTATGTTATATATGTATGAGATTTTTCAAACCTTATACTTGATGAATCACTTGTGTTCCAAGTCGTTCAAAAACGAAGAAAAAAAAAAAGAAGTAGACACTCGTTTTCGACATTTAGGTATGTACATCCTTTCTTGCAGTATTCGTCGTCGGTCCTGGTAAATCACTCAAAACTACGTTGTATAAATATATAGCCCCCCCCCCCCCATAATATAAACCTATAAATACCAATGACTAATTAAACATCCGTTTCTCGTGAAGACTTGGTCCTCTTTTGGCGCTGTGTGTATATATATAATATGACAAAAATGCGCTTAGTCGGAAAAAAATCCGTGGGCGTGTATACAATGTTTAAATTGGTTTTGCGATGAAGAAATAACGCGCGCCTTCGGTGGTATATATGTATATATTTGCCGCTGGTATAGGTATACAATGGATTTACGACCGACTGACCGTCCGTTTCGTTGCATACCCAAGTGTATATTATATACCTGGCTGCTATATTTGTGTGTATATTATAAGCTCCCCCCGATGATCTCATCATCCTCCGTCTATTATTATATGGACCTTTGGTGCGCCCTTTGGAACACACGGCGCTTTGCGACTCTCAAACTGAGAGGGATTCTACTTTTTTTTTTTTTTTTTTTTTTTTTTTTTTTTTTTTTTACGGCACAGGTGCGATGACCACCATCTGGGATGTTTATATATTATACAAACCGACAATTGGTCAACTGAATTTTAACTCAAGGTTGTATGCACTCGTTGAAAACAACCAAACGTTAAATATAATATATATATACGTGTAAATATCATTACAGGTACAAAATGTTGCGTGCGTTGCACTGTAAATCTAAAGCGAGGCGTCAAAGTACACGTTTGTTATTTTTTTTTTTTTATAAAATACATCGCAGTTGCGTTGACGAGGTATTTAAAAAGAACATAATCCACGGTGCACCAAGTATTTCCCCAGTTGTACTAAACTGGACATTTTTAAAAACGGGAAAAATCAATATAGGAAAGCTAGGGAGTGAAAAAAAAAAAAAATTGTCTACCACAGATTTGACACGTTTACAAAGTGTGCAAAATCTGGGACAGAAACGTTTTACTCTCTACACCCCTGTAATGTCAAAAAAATTGTTTAGTCCAATAGGTTTGGCAAAACAGTTAACGAAGCGTCAATTTGATTTTTCTTAAAAAGTTTATCAACACCACTGTAAGTGCGTTTCATAAAAAAAAAGAAAGACATTTCAACTGTAATGCAAATCAAAGAGTGTAATTTTTACTCACTTTTATGTGCGTGATTTTACTTTTTATATAAGCGTTTATTTATCATTTACATCCACAAAGTGTGTTCAAACTATACGCTTTTTAAACGTTTTAATTTAAAATTACAAAAAAATGGCACTCTCGAGTGGATTGAAATTTGCGCTTTAAACGTATACTTCAACAAACTTGGATTTACAGTGAATATACGTATATTTGAATCGTAATTATTATATAATCAGTAAAGTTTCGCTTACGGCGGGGTATTGTCGTTATAGTTTTATTCCATCAGGATCGGGGGTTGGGGGGAGGAAAAAAAACACCGAAAATTCCACAAGCGGGAATCCCAACCCTCATCCGTCGAGTCTACAATGTATTACCTTTTTTTTTTTTCCTAGACCAAATGCTCTTTTTTATATGATCTTCGGGACTTTCTGCGACCAACAGCCGACGTATGAAGCCGATTTTCCTCCTTCACGGAGACACGTACTACCTGCACACTAATAGCCCAGATTTAAAATACCACACGCTGAGTAGGAGATGCGCATTTTTGCGTAACGCGCGCGCGCACGTAGGGACGGCAGAACAAAAAAAGGGGAGCTTTGGGTCCTCGGAGGGACACCCAAATTAGGCGGATTACGCGCGCTCGAGCGTCCCATTCTTGGCTGCTCTTTTTTTTTCCCTTCTTCTTCCAGGCGGCGCGCGTAATCCTACAAATTATCCAACAATGCATCTGTGACGGTGAAAAAAAAAAAAAAAAAAATTGTCTCGATTCCCACGCGGAAGGTACAGAGTCAGAAAAAAAAAAAACCTTATACGTGTATACGGTCCTTTTTGTATACGTCGAGTGCCATCCTTCAGCCTCCACTCGAGTGCGGGCTCTCGGTTACCAGAAAGAGAGAGAGCCGCCACCGTCGCTGTCGAAAAGTGAGCATCTGCTTGGGCTCTCGTGCATCGATACACGTAGGTATATGTATACATATAAAGAGAGCGATGCCGACACTCCAGAGAAAAGAGCTGGCGACGATTTTTCGGGTCCTTCACGCACAAGAGGGAGAAAGTAACAAGTAGGTGACGCTTTGTCGGTCTTTCCTTCTTTCTCCTAATGTTACGAGCTTTCGATCGCGCTATCATATTATATTGTCTTCGGGGGGATTCCAATGTGCACACTGCATATACGAGGGGTGGGGAGAGCTTGCGGTCAATGACCTCGAAAGCTCACACAATAACCATATTAATAACTTTTAGGAGGGAAAAAAAAAAACAAAAAAAAACAAAAGGAGTGAACTTGGAACAAAAAGCTCTCGGATCGGAGCTTCCATGCCAAGTGGAAAATATGTGCGTGTACAATGAACCCTCTCTCGCGCGAAAGAGGAGGTGCACACGCACCCCAGATGACGAGGGGAACGAACGGAGGTGGGAAATCGATCGTCGTCGTCTGCGAGTGGCGCTGCCATTTTGTAGGGGAGCCTCGGGCGCTGGCCAATCGGGCCAAAGGAGGCGGACGCACCAGTAGCAGCCTCGGGAGGCGGTGTCGCTCAACTGGTTTCGAGGAAAGAAGGAGTGGGGGGTAAAAGGAGCGCCGCGCAGCTATGGCAATGGAGTGGGGGCTGGGGGTGGGGGGAGCCATAGGCTCGCTCACGGCATATGACGCCTGGGCTTTGAAAGACCCATCGGCAGTGGCTCGTTAGTTCCCGTGCGGGTAGCATCGTCGTCCTCTTCGTTGTCGTTGTTTTTGTTGTTGTTGGTGGTGGTGTGGTTTTGTACGAGCTGGACACCGTCGCTGCCCGGTGATGCGACCCGGGCACTATACACCCGTATCAGGCTTCTTCAAGGCAAATTAGTGCAGGGGGATATAGTGCGGTTGATGATCCGATAACTCCCAAATTTATCCTACCCCTTGGTACAATAGTGTTGATTCGTGGGTGCGTCAGAGATAAAAAACAAAAAAAAACAAGGAGGAGTCAGTCGATGATAGTAATAATAATTAATGTTGGGTGTGTTATAAGAAACAGAGCGATTCACTTTCACGCGTAAAAAAGACGGGGAAAGGGTGTTACGTTTGGTGAGGTGAGGGAGGAGGGAGTAGAGGGGTAAGGTTCGAAGGTGGCTGTTTGTTTGGCGAGGGTGCCGAAGCAGCCCTCAAAATTACGCGCAAGTCTTGGTGCGTCGGCGGCGGGGACGGCGGCGGCGACGGAGCCGGCGGCGCTCTCAGGCCGGCCGAGCTAGCGGTGGCGATGCAAAGGACACCAGGCCCCGGTGGCGGTGGAATCGGGCCGCTTGGGCTACAAGGACCGCCCAGGTCGCTCAAGATATCGCCCGTCAAGATACAAGACGAACCCGGGGACCCGATGTCACAGAGTGAGTTTTTTTTTTTTTTTTTTTTCCTTATCGCCCGAGGAAATCAAGGACTTTGAAAAACTGCTTTTCTTTACGCTGAGTGAGTTTTTTTTTTTTTTTTTTCCTTCAATTTTCCGATGAATTATGTATGAGTAGGTTACGAGCTTATTTTTCATTTGACCCGAAAACCATAAATAAAGACCTCAACCTTATTGTAAAAAAATCACCTTTCAACAAAGTCACGGGTAATCTTTGCGCATACTTTTACAGACGAGAAGACGATAAGTGAGTCTAGTTGCCCGGAGGCGAGAAAACAAGAATCAAGACGCGGCAGGCGAATAAAAAAGAAAAAAAAAAAAAAAAACTAAAACACGTATACATAATATAAGGGAGTGGAATCAGCACCCCATGGGCACGAAAGCCATAAGTATAATACAGGGGTATGGGAATCATCAGCCGATTAGAGTGCAGATGTTCTCATCTGCGGATTTTATGAGCCGACTATGATGACCCCCCCTCCCTCCACGCTCTTTCTGGCACGTTGCGTTTTTGGTGACCCAGCAGGGGTTGCCGGGAGGAGGGGGCGAAGGCTAGTAGCTAGTTGCTGTTTCAATGTATTATACGCCACGGCACTCGAAAGAACACAACACCATACATACATATATACCGTATTGACGACAGTAGCATCACGTACACGGTTCACCCTCAAGTTTATATACGCACACGCGCCCACTTGCTGGCATGCTGGAGTACAGCAGTATACGAGGGTTGGGGGGAGATAAGGACATATAGCACGGGGTATATAGGGGGTAAGACAGCTCTACCACCGCTATGCTACGCTATTCTAGGCTGTACTCACTGCTTTCCACGGCATGATTGAATTATCATGAGTGTTTGCGGAGCGACGGACGCGCGCGGCCAATCGAATTAGCCCCCCATCCCCCCCCCTATTTCTTATACGTACTGTGTGGTATGGCACGCAGCATTACCCTACACACATGGGGGAGGGGAGGGGGTGAAATGGGACAAGTGAAAAAGTACTTTTTTTCTCCCTCCTTCTCCTCTCCTCCCCAGCTCATGCGTCTCCGCGAGGGCACCTTTTTTCAGGATCTCCTTATAGCTTCTCGGGTTGGGGGGGGGGGTGACAGTAGTAGCTTTTGCAAGTGCACGCGGGGAGGAGATCGGGGGCGACCTCCTTTGTTTTTCTTTAATCATCCGGCGTACGTGTATATGTATATACGCTGCAATGGCTTTTTTTTTTTTTTTTTTTTTTTGGACCCATGACTCCTGCACTTGTGGCGTTATTGTAATCCGCCACCCTATAAACACCTATCGTAATTTGGTTTAAATAGCTAGGATCGCGTGTGTACATCTCTATTGTATCCAAACGAAGAAACTATATCTGGAGAGGAGACGCACGTATCGTATGGTAATTTGAGAGCCCACAAGTATATAGGTATACGTGTATACACGATGAGGAGGGAAATACATATACATATATATATATATATATATATATATATATATATATATACCCTCTCGGGTGACGGAGCAAAATTATGTGTGTGTATGTGTGTCCCAGACTTGTGCGCGAGGGGACGTTTTGAAGATTTATTGGCGAGAGCGATAAACAAAAAATGATTTCGGNTATATATATAGCTGCGACAGAGGCGGTATGGGTACCTATATAAAACGAGAGCTCTGGGTTTCCTCAGTTTTACGATGACAGGAGACACGCTGCACAGAGGATATCGATCGGCTGGCACGTCTTATGTTGTATATTATACGTGTGTGCGTGCGCGTGTACAACGGAGGGACCCACTCGTGTTGTATATTATGAGTGTGTATATATAGGTTCTGGCGCCAGGCCCTAAACCTTACACTCCACACGGGAGGGATAAAGAAACGTCCGGCATCCGTTTACGGGGGTGCGGCGCCTCTCTCTCTCTCTCTCTTTTTTTCTCTCTGCCGCCACATGTATATTATACATATATATATATAGATCTCAACTATCGATGACCTGCTTGGGTTTTCCAGACTTTCGCTTCCGAGGGCTCGTTTACTTACGTGTCCACACATAACTAATGTATACACGTATACACAATAAACACCGTTGGAGGTATTTTATAAAAATAACACAATAACGCACAAAACTACGATGTTTAATCTCATGTTTCGCGTATATTTATAAAAAAAAGGGGGGTCACGGGGAGAAGGACTCCCCTTTGCACACACATATATAAATATATACTTGAATCGATGCAAGGCTTGTGCCAATGACCCATGGCCGCGATGAATTATTCGGCAAGACTGTCGGCGCGATTATAATCTAATTATACACACACACACACACACACACACACACGCACGCACACATATGTATATATACGGTAACCTCGCTGATACATCGAAGGATCCTTATATGCATATTATATATTCGTGCACTTTGGGCATTCTTTTTAAATGGCAAAATCGATCCTCTTGGCTCTTGCGGTCTCTAAAAAAAAAAGAAACACTATGGAAAGTGCGTTACGGCTACACATTTTTCAAAGGGTAGTTTTTGTTCTCAAGGCACACATGATGCACGGTGGTTCTCGTTCGTAATACGATCAAGTACCCCGATGGTGGGGGGCGGAGGGGGGGGGGTTGGGAGAAAAAAAAAGATGTATATTATAATCCGGTGGAGAAAACAAACGCAGGAGTAGGCCCGAGGCGAGAATTAAGCCGAAAAAAGGAGGAAGAAGCGTTCCCGAATTGGGAACCTGCTCTCTTCAGAGGCGACGCCGGGGCGCCGAGTGGACGCGGAGGAATGCCGGCTGGCGCTGATAAAGCTCCCCCTCTCTTTTTCGGACACGGTGCGACCGACACCTATATAATAAATCTCTCGCACAACGAACGAGGTGGGCTCACCAAAGAGAGAGAAAGAGGGTACAAGCTCTGCGAAGTTTATGGAAAATCGGTAGAGGAGGGGGGGCAATTTCCCGATATGTATCATCGAGCCCGAGTGTAATTAGCGAAGGTGTTGACGGAATAACGCGCGAGTCGGTGTCTCTGAAGCTCCGTGTATCATAGGGGAGAAGCGAAAAGAAGGAGAAAGAGAGAGAAAAAAAAAAAAAAAAAGAGACGTCGAGGACACGCGGCCCGGCGCCGATCCTTCCTCTCGCGTTGGTCTTTTTTTTTCGCCTCCGCTGCAGCGAGAGTCGTTTCTTCGGCTGACCGGTCGTGTTCTTCCTTCCTTCCTTCCTTTGCCGATTGACCGGCTGCTGCGATGGGCCTTTTTTGGCGTCAGAAATGTATATATACATATAATATATGTATAGGGACAGTAACACCATTATACGATCGGGTCATCATTTTTCTGGCTGACACCCAGACGACAGGGACCGAGAGGACATGGAGGTTACGTGCGGGGAGTTTGAAAAAATAAAATAAAACAAGTACACGCGTGTATATTATTTGAACTCGGTACGTATAGACGCGAAGGTATAAGGTATAAAATGTGCAAGGAGGGCAAAAGTGCGCTCGCGCGCGGCTTCGAACAAAGGCCGGTGTATTGAATCCCGAAAGAGTTCCATGGATGCTGGTACTCTACATGTGTGTGTAAGAGGGCCTCGGCCTTATCGGGCCTCTCTCGGCAGCGGATCACACGAGGAGGAGGAGGAGGAGGAAAGCGGCCAACACACTACACGCGGCTGTATAACCTTCCAAGCGGAGCAACAAGAAGAAGAAGAAGAAGAGTCGGTCGACACTGCCGCGACTAACCACTTGGACTTTTGCGCCTTTCCTTCCCCGGTGTGTGTGTGTGTGTTTTGCATGAGTGTGGGTGTACACATCCGCGTGTGCTGTTTGTATTTTTGTGTGCGTGTATACACTGAGTCTGAATATTTTTTGTTTTTTTTTTATTTGCACAGGAGTTTCTTATTGCTTCCTTTGGGGTTTTTTTTTTTTTTGTTTTTGGCTGATGGGTAACCCCTTGGGTTCTAAACACTGTCATCGAGCTGCGTGTGCGATTTTTTTCGTTTTTCGGCTGGTCGATCGGGACTGTTTTTTTAGATAATTTTGGGCCCTTTAGTGCTGGTAGACGCTGTTATTCAAACGAGCGAGGGTTTTGGTTGGCGCCTTTTTTTTTTTCTTTTGTTGGAAAATTTATTCGTTTGTGTAGAAGAGATTTTTTTTTCACAAAATTTTCTTTGATCAAATAAGTTATGTATGTTTGCGATGTGTGTTTCTTCAAAATTAATAACTTGGTGTAATGGGGTTGAAATTTTTAAATGTCACAACCATTTCAAAAGGGAAACAAATAATACGCAGTTTGTCTACGTTGACAGGGAATCCTTTTTTTTTTCTTTTCATCCTATTTTATTTCTGATAAACAAACAATGCTTCTATCAAAGCTTATTTATTGCACTGATTAGAATTATATGATTAGTGTAAAAATTACTGAAAATTATCAAACGAACCTAATTTCATTTGGTGCGAATCGGAATTTTTCTAATAACAATAACTAGTGATTAAAAGTATCATTATTAATTTTATAAACACTATGATTTTATAATAAAAAATGAGATAAAAGAAAAAAAAACCCATACGATTACCCAAGTGAACAACTTTTTAGACGCAATTTATAGACTGATCAATAAATTTTCTTGTACGTATTATAGAGTTGTTTGAAAAAACATCAATTAGTCAGTGTAAATGGAAAAAATAAGCACACAACTGGAGAGAAAAAGAAATATCTTTGTCAAAGATTTTCTCGATTGGTTTATCGTGTTGGCCGCGTCTTTCTACATATTACATACGTACCCGCGCATACACACATCGACCTATTAAATTGGCTCTTTCGACGTCATCCATATTTATAGTCTCAAATTGTCTACATTAATTGCATTTATTGGGTTGACAACGACGTACAACACGTGTTCTTTACCTCGTTCCTGCAGTGTATACGTGTTTACATGTATATGAATGGGTATCATCGCAGACTCTTTTAATCACAACGTTACGGATAAATCTCTTATTATTCTAGTTTATTTTAAAATCCTTACTTATTATTTTATTATTTAAAATCAAATAGTTTTTATTACTTTGAAATTACTTTTTTTATCCATACATTCCATTTTTACAGCATTGTTGCTATTCATCAGTTTTATAACTATGAAATATAGAAGTTGTTGCTTTCATATGAAGGTTAAAAATTAAAAATTTTTACAGTTTTTATAAAACCGTTGAAATTTTATTATGATGTTTCTATTTTAGTGTTTCTAGACTTGGGTACAATTATTTTATGACTCTTTAAAAACTATTTAAACAATTTTTTACTCCAAAATAAAGTACGTCTTTTTGCTAAAAAAAATTTTTGATTATTCATTATTCCTAATCCATTGAGAAAAAATTTTTCTCGCTAGTAAGCACAATACATTTTACATATTGAAGTTTATTGTAAAGTAAAGTATTTAAAATTAACTACTCGAACACTTTGACTATATTTTTGTTCCTTTCAAATGTCGATGCATCGATTTCTCTGAAAAAATTTTCATTGAATACTGTACTGTAAGTAATAATTAAAAAAGTGCATTTAGCGCAAATAATTTATTACACTTGAAGAAAAAAATTATACTTATACAAAAAAATGGAAAAATCACCCGTGCCCGAGTGAAACGTTGAACAATTAAAATGCAGTAGCACACTTTTTCGTGAAAAAAAAACCCTCGATTCACATCAAATTCACGTACAGACTTGTAAAAAAAAAAAAAAGAAGAGGGGAGAGAAAGAGAGGATCGGATTCGCGCGCACAACTATACATCACCGATGGGCGTGGCCGCGAGCTATCTCCCACTTCAAACGCCAGCGCCGCCTCCCTCGGCTACCCCCACCACAGCCCGGCTATCCCACCTCTTTTTCGATCAGTACCCTTTTTTTTTTTTCTTTTTAAATTTTATTTTTCAACCCTCCATTTCTCCAACCCTATAATTGCACTTGTCGATGCACGCGATCGAGGACCGATAATCCATTGTGCAACTTTTCAAATAAATGAAAAATCTCGAGCTTCAAGGTTGAAAAAACCAAGCAGCGAAAAAAAAAAAAGGAAAAGAAAAAGGGGTGCGCCAGAACAAAGAGCGAATTAAGTGCAGGAGGAAAAGAAAAAAAGAAAAAAAAGAAAGAAACGAGACAAGAGAGCGAAACAAGGCCGAAGAAAATAATCTAAAGCGGTACACGATAATAAAGACGAGGAGACACGCGTACACACGCTCGGCGATAAAGAAAAATCGCGTATGTATAATATATACGTTATACGCACACACGTATATATAATATGCAGGCAAAAGCGGTCGCCGCAGAGATAATTGAGGAGGTAGAGAGAGAGAGACAAAGGCGCCGCTGTGGGCGCGAGCTCTGATAAACCGGCCGATAGTAACATATACACGTATAATACACGTGTACTTGACACCTAGGTATAATAGGTGCTCGTTACCCCCTCTCCATAATAGATGTAATTTATCAAAAAAAGGTATACGGACAACTCGACGTACAATGGGGAAATGTTCTTCCAGAGAGCCGTAGCTCGCTGTGCGTCGGTTGCGGCGGCAGGATACACGACCAGTGGATCCTGAGGGTAGCGCCGGATCTCGAGTGGCACGCGGCTTGTCTCAAGTGCGCGGCTTGCCAGCAGTTCCTGGACGAGAGCTGCACCTGCTTCGTACGCGACGGCAAGACCTACTGCAAGGACGATTACGTCAGGTTGGTTGTTACGTTTTTTTTTTTTTTTTTTCTTTATTAACAAATTAGTTTGTTTCGCGTTGTGGATGGTGTTTGGAAAAAAAAAAAAAAAAAGTTAATCGCCTCGTCGTTAAACGGCAAAGAGCTTTATCTCGTACTTGTGCGTCAAGTCAACATATTTGTTGTTTAGGCTTGTGGGCGCGAGACTGTTTCATATTTTTCAAGTACGTTTTTACGTGACAAGAAAATTATTTTTGTGCTTGTACAACAAGTATGTATTCTGTCTTGAATATTTTATCAATAAGTGGTGAAACAAAAAAGGGAAAATTTCATAATAATGGCCGATTTTCTTCGAGACATAGTAGTGCATTGAAAAGTATACGTAGCCGTGATTTTTGTGCTTGCAAGTTTAACGTTTCGAATGTATTAAAAGAGCGAAAAAAAAAAGGTTACGAGAAATATTTTAAAACAACCATTTTTCCTTTACCCATAAATTTTTATTCGAAATTGTTATTATTAAATGTGTTAAGTGTCTTGAAGTCTCAATCATTAAGTTGACGTTTCAATGTACTTTCCAATTTTTAATTGTCAATTGTATTAAACTGAGTAAAAACATTTTTGTTTTTCAGTAGACAGTTTCGAAATCTATGCTTTTCAAGTATAAGGGTTTTATTTTAAATTTTTTTTAGAGTCTCGTTTTAACAACTATTGTTATAGAACTCCAGTATACACTCCAAACTTCAATAACATTGTATATTTGAAAGAGTGTAGAGAAAACAATTTTTTTGTTGTTGCAAATTTAACATTGGCAGTACAGCTAGTTGTGTATCGTCTCGCACGTAATGTGGCCATTACCGTCGTATTGTCCGACTTTACGATAAAAATTAAAAATGGCCCCTTACGTATTTTTAAATATTGACACGATTTTACTTCACGACCGCATTTTTCATGCTCTTCTACAACAATCTATTGAGTATATAACATTCGCTACAGATTCTGGCTCCAAAGTATCCAGCTAGACTTGGAAAAAAATTATAAATAGAGAGAAAAAAAAAAAATATATTTTCACATCCATCGAAGAAACGACGCTCGCGTGTTCGAAGCAATAGTGCACCGCAAACTAAATCTCGAAAATAAAGCAAACTCCCGTGGAAAGAGAGAGAGAGAGAGAGCAAAGATAACAAATACACCATCACATAAAATAGGCACGCGACTGTACGTACACATATACTCTCTCAATGTATTTATTTTTCCGTCGCCACTATGCGTATGTATACATTGAAAAGTAAAGCTGTCAGCCGAGTTCGCGACGGAGGGACGAGAATTCGATGGCTGCCAATCACCGGGGCTGGCGTTTTATTTGAAAGGCTTGGCCGTGTACGCAACGAGAGATAAAGAAACGAGTGACTAAGAAAAAGAAACATTTTTCAATCGTTACTGGCGCGTACCCGGGGAGAGAGGGGCGGAGATGATTTTTTTTTTTTTTTCTTCGGGCGAAAAAAACTCGAGGTTTTTGTGAAAATAATCACGCGCGGATGAACCGGGGATTCCCAAATTAAACGTGGGTGCGTTTGTTTGTCCAAAAAAAAAACAGGTTGTTCGGGACGAAGTGCGACAAGTGCCGGATGTCGTTCAACAAGAACGACTTCGTGATGCGAGCCAAGACGAAGATCTACCACCTGGATTGTTTCCGGTGCTCGGCGTGCGCGCGGCAACTGGTGCCCGGGGACGAGTTCGCGTTGAGGTCCGACGGGTTGTTCTGCCGGCACGACCACGACGCGCTCGAGGGCGAGAAGTTGTGCGGCGGCGCCGCGGGCCCCATCGGGACCGGACCCCTGCCTGGGAACGAGAACAACAACAACGCCAATCTCACCAACAACAATCACCACCTCGGACACCCGAACGACGGATCGCTCTCAGGTTTGTCCCTTATATTTTATATCAAGGGTTTTTCAAGGAGGTTCAATCTCGTGGCATACATGATTTGGTTGGCGCGGTGCGCCATCTGTAACTATGGGTAGATCATATATTATAACCTCAAACAAAAATTACGAGTTTCGAGAAATAGTTGTGTTAATTCAGCTCATTCTCTGGTACTACTGTCAAACAATGACTTACAGTTAAATTTTGGTGATTTGTGAATGGTTTTAGTTTGATGTAAAATTGAAGTGAAACTTGAACTGAAAGAAAAGTACGGTTTAGAATTTCATAAAGACTCAGGGTGCAAGTACTTTGTTAGCTTCAATAATTTTTTTTTTTCAGAGCGTGTAGTGAAAGAATAAAGAAAGAAATATCTCTCAATCATGATGATTTTTTTTCTTCGTATTAATAGACTTGGTACATTTGACAAAGCCACGAAAACGAGGTTAGGAGACCTGGCGATCGTTTGACTAGCGTCGTAACGAATGAATCGAAATTTTGGAATAAAAAACAATCTTTTGAGGTCCTTTGTTGAGAATTCCTTCGTAAAAAATAAAAGAAAATTTTTTGAATTTCTCAGTTGACTCTTTGTTGGGAGACGAAAATTTTGTTTTTATTAATATCTCTACTATTACTTGGTGGATCATCTCCAATAACGTTGTCTATGTTTTTTGTTGTTTTTTTTTCGTAAAGAAATATTTCCGTTCAATTTTTTTTAGTAAGAGATCGATCAGATAAGTTCTTCTTGTTTTTCGGAGGATTAAATTTGTATACTCTATGCAAGCCAGGGTGGTTCGATGCATTTCAATGATACGCGTATTATTGAACAGTCACTGACTGACTCGAGTAATTTATACTTCATTTTTACACTATAACCTAATACCTAAGTCGGATAAAATCGAGATTATCCAATTAATCGATTGCAGCGTAAAAATATTCATCGGAAGTTTAATTTAAAGTCGTCTTGGCTACCGAAATTCTACACCTTGATCCCAAATGTTAGATCAAACAGCAAATTTATCTAATATCCCACACTATGATGTACACACGCGGACATATTTATACACTTACGCCCTGCAAAAAAAAAAAAAAAAAAAAATATCCGGGGTTATAATATACTCCGTGACCCCATCGGGCTCTCGGTCCACGGCAAAGCTCGATGTTTAATCTGGAGCTTAAGCGCGGGGCTTTAATCGGCGCCAATTATCGACACCTGACGCGCAAAGTCCCGCCACGCGCCGCACCGTTAATATGTTTAATCCAGCCGCCCTTGCACATACGCGCTAACCCCGCGTGGACACTGTCCACTTTGCTCCTCCCCTCTGCCCCTTTGTTCTTGCGCCCTCATCGCAGCGTATATAAATTTGCCCCTTAATATTTCATCAACCGTCGCTTTGACCCTTTGGTTCTACATGTGGATGAATGTTTATCGGCATGGGTTGTTTAACATCATACCTGCACCGTGTAACATTTTGTCCTTTTTTTCTATTTTTTTTCTTCACCCGATCGCGCTTGGTGAAATAATTTATTACTTACCTGTGTTTTTCCACATGATGACATTGTTTTTTTCTTTTGTATCAGTAGTGCAATTTTTTTTTTTTAAACATCAAGGTACAAACAAAATACGTTTTTGAGCGGCAGAAAACGTGACCCATGGGTTACATTTAGGGATTTTCTCGCAGAAATGCATCTAGAAAAACGTTTAACAATTCTTTTGTCACGAAATTATACGTCGGACGGCCTTTGATTTTGTTTTCACCTATATTTGCAGATTAACGAGTCGATTTTTTTTAACTCGTCCAGATTTAAGTATGAAAATCAAATTGTTTTTTTTTCGTGCTTTTTTTAAAGTTTGTAACGCATTTGTGAACTCACTCTATAAATGGGCTTTTTTACAAAAATCTTTGAGTGACTATAATTGAGGTAGTTATGTCGGCATCTCGTTATAGTCAAAAAATGCGTAGCTTCGTTTAAAAATGATTTACATGGTACGGTAAAAATTATTAAAAACTCTTTATAGTGTTTAGTTGCTTGTAGAATGTCTCAAAAGTCAATAAAATTTCTTGTTTACCCCAAAAAATTACGAATAAAACTTTGAATTGAAAAAAAGTACGTGTCAAAGTTTTGAAAATTGGTGATTTCCGTACATTTTGTTGTTTATTTATACCATTTTTTAAAAACTTTTCTTCTATTGTAAGCACTTAATCGGAACTTTTATATTAAGGGTGTTTAAATTATTTTGTAAACGTTAAAGTTTTCTTTCCTATCACTACCAGATCCAAACGGTACAGTTGTAGTTTAATCCGCGTATAATATATTAAAAAACACCGTGTTTCATCTGTAAAAACAATTTGTTCAGTTCCACAAAATTTATTTTTGCGTAAAAATGTAATCGTTAGTATCCGTTGATAGTATCGTTGATATCCGAACCTTAGTCAAGTGTATTAGCTAAAAAATGAGCCTCTAAACCAAAACTTGAATCTTTTCCCGAAGCCCTTGGTTCCCCATCCTTTCCAGCCCCTGCACTCGCGAAAACCATCAAAAAAATAGATCGGCGACAAAACACAAACGAGCTCGCGCTTTGACAAAAAAAAAAAAAAAAAAAAAGCCTCCCGCTAATTCCTCGCTCAAACGAGGCGCTGTTGGCCGAGCCACGCTCGGTAGCCCAAAGTCCAAGTTTACGAGTAATTAGCGCGTCTGGAATTTTTTTTTTTTTTTTCTTTCCCTCCCATTATCCTCCTCCCATTCGCTGACTCTCCCCCCCCCGCGCTCCCCGGCTCCTATACACCAGCAATGATTTATTCAGAAAAATGTCAATGCTACACGAGGATGAAGAAATCAACCGACTCGTCGTCGTTTTAATCAGCTACCGTGTGTGTGTACCCTCGCGCTTGTGTATTGCGTCTCGCGTTACGTAAAAACACCGGGATTTGCATGAAAAATTCAAAGATCAGTCACGATACGATCATCCACGCGGAGGAGAAGACACATCATGTTTTCTATAACCAAACTAAAATTTATCTCAAGTTTTGAAAAAAAAAAAAAAAAAAAAAAAAAGGCAAAGTAACTATAAATTACGTAAAATGTATATATATATATATATTCATTTAAAATCAATTCGTCACTCCGACCGTATATGTACGTGGAAGCTTCTCTCTCTAATCAGGAGTCATCCGAAAGACATAAAAGCATAAAAAAGGACGATAAAAACGACGGCGGCAGTATATGCACGAGTGGTATAATATAATATACGTGCGGTGTGGAGTATACATATATACATACGGAGGAGGGAGGACCGGAATTTCATGGTTACACATATACGCGCGCGAACGTATATGTAATCGAGAGACGGATCTCTCTCTCTCTCGATCCGGTTATCCTCGGTCCTTTATTTCTTTCTTTTTTTTTTTTTCCTTCCTTTTCGCGATCGCGCGCGCGCGCGCGCCTCGGCCGCAGTGGCAGCGAGGTGTCAAATGTAACACGCTCCTGCCAACTACTGTGGCACACACTGCAGTCACGCACCAGCTTCTTCCCTCCTTTTTCTTCCCTTTCTCCACGTCCATCCCCGTATGCTTTTTTTTTTTTTTTTTTTTTTTTTTCCTACCGGTGTATTTATAAGAGTACTCTTTTTCGCTCCCCTGTATTATATGTGTACTTTCGTCACGCGGACAAGTGTATCCGCCATCCGTAATGCCCAATTCGGTTGGCCATCGATATTTGCTTCCAAGTGTATCGATAAATTTATTGAAAAAATACCAGATTCTGAACTATAAAAATTAAGAGGCTGCACTTTTTATAGCCAAGAACATATCTGTTGTATACTGAGAGAATAGTCTCTTTTTTTTTTTTTATGAATGTTTTATTGATTCAAGAGATTGTTTACTCGTAGGTAATGTTTTTTTAATTCAGTGCCATATAAAATAACCGTTGTTGCTTCATTTGTATAAGAGTATAATATAATCTAATGCCCAAACTTTTTCAGATCACTTTTCAGTTCAAAATTTGTAATACGTATACGCGTGTATCAAACACTTGGTACTTTTGTTATTATTCATGTACGAAAGCTGTGGAATTTTTTTTTCTTCTCTTACTTCAAAATTAAACGTCGATTTATCATCATAGATTTGCGTGTGAGTAGGTAGCGCTACACGGAAACGAAAATTCCTTTTGTTGTCCTAGAATAGTTTCAAGCAAATAATAATTTTACTTTAAATAAACTCTTGACGTAGGAAATTATCAGTTTGTGATCCTAACAATTATTTTCTTGATTTTAAAAAATATATTTTTTATCATTTCGGTGTATATTTATAACTCAGTTCGACCGAACGTGAACCGATAAAGGGGAAATGACTTAAAATTAGTAGTTATTCTAGTCTCAAAGAAAAAAGTGCTTCCTCTGTCCAGTCACACCAGTGTATATATATAGCATTGAAATTAAAAAAAAAAAAAAATTAATACACACACACATGAGTACAACAACCGTGGGATACAGCGATAACCATCTCGACTCAAGTGTGTATATACACACGCACGCATAGAGATATCCCGAACTATATACGTGCATGTTCGGCTCGTTATCAAAGCGCGCGATGTCCGTGTAAATGTATACGCGTATATAGCAGAGAGAATCAGATTGCCATCGCCTATATATACATACCTTTGATCACTTGTCACCGACACCCCACACACACACACAATATACGTGTATACGCGTTTATCAGGTGCTTCCATATCTGTATGTCCATCGTCCTTTTATTTACTTTTTATCAAAGAGCAAATTTACACTGTATAAACTCGAGATTACGAAAGCCGAGTATGTATATTATCACCGGGGAGTATTGATTTTTCCCTCGTATCTTCAAACATTACCCGCGCACAGACACACATACACACACGGGGGGGGGGGGGGGGGGGGGGGCTTGATTTCAAGTTTGAAAGCGAGGACTGATTTTTTTCGGTGAATCGCGAGAAGGATACACTTTGAAGAAAAAAGAGAAAAACAAAAAAAAAAAAAAACAGGACGAAGGAAGGAGGGGGAGGGGGATGTAGGAATTAAAGCCGGAGGATCTCTCTCGACGACAAATTTTAATCGGAAATCGGGAGTGCAATAAAGGATCGAAAGAGAGAGAGAGAGAGAGAGACTGTGTATACGTGTACGTGTGTAGAGAGCGGTCACTTCAAAGCGCGCCGATCTTCGGCGTAAGCCGGCATGTCCACTTTGGACTTCTCCCCCCCCCGACCCCCCCCCAACGACGGAGTATGCCGTAGTTAAACAAGCATACGCGCTTCTTCCTCCTCTTATTTTCTGATCTCACCTGCCCTCGTCTCTCTCTCTCTCTATATATATACGTATACGGGCTACTCTACATACATCCAGGCTTTTTCGTCCCGATGAGGATTCTCCTTTTTTTTTATATATACGTTTCCTCCCGCGGGGTTTTGCATATACTTACCCACATAAATATAACACAAGCGGTGGTGTTACTTTGCCTCTCTCGTGTGTGTGTGTGTGTGTGTCGTTATTTTTGGTCCAATTAATAATTCATCGTTTGGGGCCTTTCGATTAGGACGCGCGTAGCGTTTGGAAGATGGATTTTTTCCAAAGTTGGGCGCCTCGGCCGTGTGGAAAAAAAAAAGGTCCATCGGTTTGTTTGAGCGCTGTTGGCGAGACAATGGCACTAGAAACAGTTTCGCGATGTTTTTACCCCCTTCGTGTACATATGTGCAACAATAGAGAGAGAGAGAGAGAGGGGGGGAGAGATAAATGATACACTACTCGTTTATATACGTAGACGTGGTATAATGTATATGTATATATATACAAGTTGGGTCGTAAGTTGACCATGAGGCAGTTTAGTTGTTCGACGCGCGGCGGGTAAATGAAATCCCAGGGGCCCCCTGTACATATGTATATTTTTACTCCGGTCCTAACCAAATAGCCGTCGTGGATGCTCATCTCTCCTCGCTCTTGATACATATATATATATATATATATGGGAGGAGTGTGGGCGATCTGTGTGTGTACAAGTGAGACACGGTGATTTTTTCAAATTTTTTTTCTTTTCCTCTGGTACTTTGGTTTTGGGTTACTTTTGTGGTGTCGTTTTTTCTCTTTCTATGGGAAAGATCAACCAAGAGGCGCAAAGTTTTGTTTCAAGCGATGGGAGAGAAAAAATATCCAACGTCTTTATGCAAAAAAGCGGAAAAAAAAAAAAAAAAAAAAAAAAAAAAAAACATACCTCAAAGGCAACTTGTACGAGATCGAGTTCGGTGTTCGCGTTTGCAATGGCCAAGACCACAAATATGTATTCCTCGAAATCGACGAAGCCTTGATCCCGCTGTTGTAAGAAAAAAAAAAAAAAGAAAAAAAAAAATGTACATTATTGAAAACAATTATCTAACCACTAAGCACACCCACTGTACTCTTACCTTATCGTGTATTTTGAACAACGTCTGCGCCGAGGTATTATTCTCGTCGAGCCCTAGCATCCTCACGAACTCCTGGTAGTCGACCATCTCCGGAAATCCCGAGGATTTTTTGCGCACCAGCTCTTCCTCCGTGTTGTTTTGCAACAATCTACGCACACGTACCCCAAGTAACGTTAAAAAAAAAAATTATTATTATTATTTTTTTTGCTTTTGTTTACCCAACGTGTGCAACGTTGTCAAACAATCGAACGACAACTCACCCGAGCTTGTACCGTAGCTTGTGCGCGTTCACAATACCGGAAGCGTTCGGCAAGTGCAGCTGGTGCGCCTTACTGATTATTCGACAGTCGTCGTACGTGTAATCCGACACTGGAATCTTCAACGCTCTGTTATGGAGAAAAATTATTTTTTTAATTTATTTTTCTCNATGTGTGAGATTTTGTAAATAAAAAATACGATGCGTCTACGATGATTCTTGAACTATGTATTTATATATAAATATAAAAAAAAGGCAAGCAGTTTGAGTTCCGAAACTTTAAAAAGTTACTATGTACCAAGCAATTATTATTTGTCGTTTTACTGAATATTTTTTAAGTTTTGTCCTTTATCATACATCACAATTATTAGTGTATACATGTACAGCTTGTAATATTTACATATAAAATGTTGAAAGAACCAATCGAATGTTGTATAAAATGGCTTTATCACGCTACTCATCAATCACGCAAAAAACAAAAAAATATACATTTTCGTTTCGAAATTTCATCGTTGAAAGGTGCATCAACAATAGTAATTGGGAAATGTCATTGTTTAATTTAAAAGCACAAACAACGTGGATGATAAAATTGAAAATTTACAAAATCCCCATAGGGAGAAAAGTACCACGGTAAACTTTGGCTTATAATATATTGAATGATCATAACGCGGTTTTACAGCTAAAGTGTCCCAACGTTATCACCGTTCGAAGGTTTAAAAATTGCAATCCCAAAGCTCGCGTGTCTTATTCTTCCAATAATGACACTTAGCACAATCTCAAACAAAGTTCCTCATGAAAAGTGAAAAAAAAAGTGAGCTTCCACGTAGAATGAATTGCGTGGTGAAAATAACGTACTTTTTAAACAATCATCAGGTGATTGTGACAATTTGAGACAAGAGCATTTGTAACAACCACGTAGTTATTTGGTTTGAAATAGAGAAAAAAAAAGAAAGAAAGGAAATGAATGAAACGTCGAAACGATTGCAGACTCGGGGTCGGAGAGCGGCTCGCACAAGACGGTCGGTGGCGGCGGTCGGGGCGGCGGCTCGGGTCACAAGGGCGGCGGCTCCGACGGCAAACCGACGCGCGTCCGTACCGTCCTCAACGAAAAGCAGCTCCACACGTTGCGCACCTGCTACGCGGCCAACCCGAGGCCCGACGCCCTCATGAAGGAACAGCTCGTCGAGATGACCGGCCTGAGCCCGCGGGTGATACGGGTCTGGTTTCAGAACAAACGCTGCAAGGACAAGAAACGGACCATCGCCATGAAGCAGCAGCTCCAGCAGGAGAAGGTGCGTCGCAATTTTTTACATATATTTGCTTCGTTTTTTTTAGCCAAATACGTGTCTTTCTCTAAGCAATCCTCTGCTGTTTTCAAGCTAATTTTGAACCTATATGTTTATGCAGTGTGAGGATGGGGTTACGGCCCAATCAAATAATGTTGCCAGCGTCTTTACCCCCGGCGCTTCAAGAAAGAACAAAAAACATTTTTTCACAGTTAATTCTATTCGACACGTTCGCTTTTGTAATAAATCACAGCTATTTGTATCATGCATTTTACTCTGAACAGCGAAAAAATCGTTATTTTTCCCTCAGGAAAAGTAAAAAAAATTTTTTGTTTGGCACAAAAGTTGTAGAGCTCATTAAAATGAAACCGTTCGGTAAGTTTTTTTTTTTTTTTTTTCATATCTTAATACTCCAAGTGGTAAGAATCATTTCAAAAAGGCCAAAAAAATGTATTCTGTCGTATCTAATTTTCATCATGTTACGTTTTTGGACAATATGTCGCAAACAAAATTTGTAGAACTTATAAACTCATACGTACCTTTTTTCATGGGCCATTTTTATCTGTGGTGCTTTTTTCGTTTAATGGCACATAACCTTTTTTTTCTACATTTAACTTGCGGATAAAATTTCGAGTACAAAACTCATAAAACTCATAGATTTAATTGCTTGTGTTTGCCATTTTTCATACAAGTATAGCGTCGTCCTAACACAAAAAATCATTGTAAAATGTCCGAAAAATCGTTATTTATTTGAGATGTAACGACAAAATATTAACACAAAACTTATTTAAACACGGTGTACAAATGAAACCCCGCGATCCGTATTTTTTTTTTTTTTTTGTCCAAACTAATCCGGTCGTTGGAGTTATTGGTATTAAATGCGGTTTCTTTGGTTTATTTTTCCCAGGACGGTCGTAAGCTCGGCTTCCCCGGAATGCACGGGATACCCATGGTGGCGAGCAGCCCCGTGAGACACGAGAGCCCCATCGGTATGACGCCCCTCGAGGTGCAAGCGTACCAGCCACCCTGGAAGGCCCTCTCGGACTTTGCTCTGCACACCGATCTCGAAAGGCTCGACCCGAACACGCCGACCTTCCACCACCTCGTGTCGCAGGTCAGTCTTCCACGTCATTACATATACACCTTCAAAGGGTGTATTTATCTTTTTTTTTTTTTTTTTTCAACGAAATACGTGGGTTATGATTTCAGATGCACGGCTACGACATGCACGGCGGACCGTTGCCACAGGGCCAATTGGGACCTCCGGGTATGATGGGTGGGCCAATGGGCGACGGAGGTGGGCCGGCCGGGGGCCATCTCGGGCCGCCAGGTCCGCATCAGGGACACGGGCCTGACATGGGCCAGCATCCCGACAGCACGGACAGCTACGTGACTTACCTCGAGAGCGACAGCGACTCGTTGCAACACGACCAAGGCAGTCCGTAATGATGCCTGTATAGAAAATTGGTTTTTGCGGTGTTTCTTTTTTTTTTTTTTTTTTTGCACCCAAGGTGACAGAGGTTTACTTTTAGGCACTGTCCTGTGCGATTGTTTCCGTGTATATGCACAAGAGGCNCCTTCGTTTGCACTGTTTTCCACCCCCGCACACTTTTGGACGCGGTCGAAACAAAGCGTTTTCTTCCCGATGTACACACATGCAATTGTCAAATCGTACATTACTCGGAGAATTACGCATTAATTACGTCTCATTAGCATACACGTCCCCGGCCGCGCGTCGCGCCAATTTAGCGCATTAAATAATTTAAGCAATTTATTGACGCAATAAGCCGCGTATATACGTGCACGCTCGTATAAACACGTATACCAGCGTTAGAAACCTACGGGTGTATATATCCATACCGTACCGAAAGAGATGGAAGAAAAAAAAAAAAAAGGAAAAAAGTGTGTCGGTTCTTTTAAAATGTAAAATCATGGATATTACATTTACTTGTTGATTGTTCGTCATTTGTTTTGTAAGCACGGAATATATTCGTTGTCACACGACTGTGGATACATTTTTGTACATATGAAGATAAATAATGTATGTAAATATTTTAATTGAGGCGATTGCATTTTTCGCCCGGCGTATAGTAAGTATAAGAGTGTATACAAGAGCGTTTCAGTGTAATTAAAGGTAATATCGCGTTGAAAGTATTTTAAACAAAAAAAAAAAAATTGTTATATGTGGATTTTGAAACGTGAATTTTAAATTCGATAGTAAAATAAAATAAAGTAAAATAAAACAAACTGTTCGAAGCGATGAGTTGTAGAGAAAATCCAAGTACGTACTTAGAACAAACAAAAAAAAAATACCAAAGCCAGAGAGCAGTGAACAAATGTGTGAGATTTTGTAAATAAAAAATATGATGCGTCTACGATGATTCTTGAACTATGTATTTATATATAAATATAAAAAAAAGGCAAGCAGTTTTGAACGAAAAAGAAATATATATATGTGTAAATTGTAAAAGCGCCTCCAATAACAATTTATGTTGAACATACGTACGACGCATCATATGCGACGTATTCACGTTTTCGGAGGGAGAAAAAATATTTACCGAACTCTCAAAAGAGTTTTCGGATTTGTATGATATTTCTATGCAGACAAAAAGTGCACGTAATAAAAATCATTGACATTCTTCATTAATTGGTAATTTTATTTTTATTTTTTTATTTTCCCTCAATTCGAATGCCACCTGTAGAGAAATGCGATGTCTACCTTACCATCGTTACCATTACACGGTAATGTAGAAAACGACATACTATTGATAATATTGTTACCAACCTTACCGTCATATCGGAAGATAACACAGAATTTGCTCAGAAAAGTCGTCTTTATAAAATTCGGAGTTCAAAGTTGGGAATAAGAAAAAGTAAACAGTAAAACAGTGCGTATGGAGTGGTTCGTTATTTTTGTAAAGAAATAAGATTGTTCACTCGTTAACAATCACTTCACTATGTCGTCGAAAAGAAGAATGGTAATGTTAAAAAGCGATTATATTGATTATATTGGTTATTTAAACAAAAAATGTTGCTTTCAAAGTTTGTAGGTTAAAACGCAGAGTTGACAATACTTGGTAAGAATAATTAATAATTTTCAGCCGAAAAACAAAGCGCCTCCTCCAGTTGCTCCAGCGCGGGTGAAAAAATCAAGCCCCGAAAGCAAAAGCTCGCCGTCCAGTAACTCAAACGAACAAAAACCGCAAACCGCGAGTGGCCTCGATCAAGAAGCAGAAGATCAGTTCGAGCTCGAGTTGTGCTGGTGCGTCCAGCAGTTGGAAGCCGCCCTGGCGGACAAAAAGCTCCAGGACAAGCAAATTTTCAACATGAGCAAGAGCTTGAACGTATTAAAAAGCAACAACGCGTCGTTCATCAAAAAACGGCAGGTAATGAGGAACACGTTTGGCGATTACAGGATGAAAATGGCAGAAGATGAGAAGAAATTCGCCAAGGTCTCGGCTACGCTGAAATTCGTGGCACCAACTAATAACAGCAAGCTGGAGAAGAAGTCGGTGTTTTTGAGAAAAGCTCGGAGTTCTACGGACGAGGGATCATTAAAGTGCTTAAGCGAACAATTTGGTGGGAAAGTTTCCATTGGCTCGGACGTTGCTGCGAAAGTGCCGTTTCAGTTTAATTTTCCTCTCGTTGAATCATGAAAAAAAAAAAAAAGTTATATTTACTGATATGTGCCCGTAGAGATTCAAGTCAACGAAATTTTTTTTCTGTCTGATGTATTTTGACCTCTAGTGAGATCTAATTAAGTTTTCGGCAGTGAAAATTCAGACTAGCTTGAAAAAATATGTTGTGGAAAATTAAACAATGCCAATCGATTGTTATAAAATCGAACAAAAAATATTTTTTGCTAAGGCTTCAAAAAAAAGGCAAAAACAGAGATGAGTAGAGAGATTGCTAACGCCAATGCTACGGCGTGAGACAACTTTTTNTGGAAAAAGAAACTTTCGCCCTGAAACCAATGAACTGCCCTGGTCATTGCATGGTTTTCGATGTGCGAATTAGGTAAGTCCCCAATGAGACACCCTACAATACAAAAAAGTTATATTTTGTACGTGTAAATATTTTTGTTTTTTTAATATAAATATATTATATCTACCTGCTATTTTTCGGGATGTATGAGGTGTATATGACACAAAAATCAAATGTTGTTCAAAAGGCAGGAGTTGTAAAATATGTTAGCAATAAAATGTTTGTATTTTTAATACATACTTGTTGCACTGTATTCAACTTTACCCTTGATAAAACAATAAAAATCGCGCATCACACTCCAGTTTGAATAATTTACATACTATATACATGAAAAGGTAAAATCACGTGACACTTTTGTGTATATATATCTATGCTCCACAAGGAAGTCAACTGGTCAACTCTCGAGAGGGAGAGCAGACAACTTACTCACAAAACCTACAGCTGTATATATTTTTAAGTCAATCTACTCAGATAACATATTTGAATATCTACTTAGTGGTATTTGCAAGAGGTTAGTCCAAGTATTCTTGTGTGTTAAATACTTATTTCTGGAGTTATCGAGGCTGAATAAAAAAATTGCACCATCTCTAGCTCGCGATTTTCGGGAGTAGCACATATGTAATAACGTTTTCACCGGTCCCCCGTTGTGTTCATATAGTGTGTACAATTGCGGTGTTATAATACCCATCGAGCTTATGGGGAAAAACCTATTTCAAAAAAAGTGTTGAAAAAGAGAAAGGAAATAGCTCATGAAGCGAGCCAATGCTACTCGCGAGCCTGCTACTACCGAGTTGTCCACGAGTCCTAAAGCTCCCGAGTAAACTTGGCATAAGGTGGAAGTCGCTGTACGCTTTGGTGCGTTTCGTCTTTTTTTAAGGCCATTTAGTTCGTGTTCTTCCCATTTTTTTCCCTACTTACATTACTTGTACCATTAGAAGCTCCGTTTTTTGAGTTACCACGCGTACGTTCATTCATTAACCTCTTCGCGTTGCATTTCCAGCAACACAGCACTTTACTAACATAAGTATAAAAAAAAAATTAATTTCTGTTGGTTTTTTCCATAAAATAAACATTCCTGCTCTGAATATCCAATAGGTGTAAATATACTCACTGGACTCCATTATTTTGTGGTGTAATCCGTCAATCATCGTCATGGTTGACCTTTATTTCTTGTGATTACACATAACTGCTGTTTATTTCTAAACACTTGTTTATTGTTTTACTTCGTTCTACTCGAGTCGTGTTTTTTTTTCACTTATTTTTTTCATGCTTACTTAAAGGCTATTGGAGATAACATATATTGACGTATTGCATATCTGATGTAAATGTGACAGTTGTGTCGTAATTAGTCAAAATTGAATAAAAATGATAAATTTTTTACCTGAACTCGATATTTTTTTTTTGTTAGAAAAAAATGAAGCAAAAGCAAGAAAAACCAGATAAGTTCACTGTGAAGGAGCTGAATCCACCACCATCGTACATTCAGGTAAAATCGGACTTAGTTTTAAACAAAACAATAATTCATTGGAATATGACAAAAAATTTTGTATAAATGATTTTTAGGAAAGGATAGAATTGTTCGACAAGCTCAAAGCCAAGTACTTGGCTGAACTTGAAGCTAAGGAATCCAAAGAGATAACTGTAACACTTCCAGATGGCAAAGAAATACCGGCAGAGTCTTGGCGTACTACCCCTTACAAAGTTGCGTGTGGTATTAGCCAAGGGTTGGCTGACAATACAATCATAGCAAAAGTCAATGGCGAACTGTGGGATTTGGATAGGCCATTGGAATCCGATTGCAAACTGCAACTACTCAAATTCGATGATAAAGAAGCTCAGGCAGTTTTCTGGCACTCTAGTGCTCATGTTCTTGGCGAAGCCATGGAAAGAGTCTATGGTGGTTGCTTGTGCTATGGTCCACCCATAGAAGAAGGTTTTTACTATGATATGTTCATAGAAGAGAACGAGGGTATCTCGAGTGACAATTTTCCGTACCTAGAATCTCTGTATAAAAACATTGTCAAAGAAAAACAAAACTTTGAAAGGCTGGAAATGAAGAAGGAAGATCTCTTGGAGATGTTCAAGTACAATGAGTTCAAAGTCAGAATTTTGAATGAGAAAGTTACAACTCCAACCACGACTGTGTACAGGTATGTAAGACATAAAATCGTATTCTGTATACCCTGGGATTTTCTAGTCAAAAACAATTATTTCATTGTGAAAAATAATAGGTGTGGCCCACTGATCGATCTGTGCCGGGGACCGCACGTGCGCCACACTGGGAAGATCAAGGCAGCAAAGATAACAAAGAACTCGTCAGCTTACTGGGAGGGTAAAGCGGATGCGGAGAGATTGCAGCGGCTCTACGGCATTAGTTTTCCGGATCAGAAACAGCTGAAGGAGTGGGAAAAGTTACAGGAGGAGGCGGCGAAACGAGATCATCGGAAAATCGGCCGCGAACAGGAGCTTTTCTTTTTCCATGAGCACTCGCCTGGCTCGTGTTTCTTTCAGCCCAATGGGGCATACATTTACAACACTTTGGTACAATTTATACGCGACGAGTACAGAAAGAGGGGATTCCAGGTTTGTTGTTCACTCGGGTGTTTTCACGGATAAAATAATTATTTGGTAACTAAAATTATTATACTACTCAGGAGGTCATCACGCCAAACATATACAACAACAAGCTGTGGAAAGCTTCGGGCCATTGGGACCATTATTCCGATAACATGTTCTCGTTTGACGTGGAAAAAGAAACTTTCGCCCTGAAACCAATGAACTGCCCTGGTCATTGCATGGTTTTCGATGTGCGAATTAGGTAAGTCCCCAATGAGACACCCTACATTACATTGGCACTGTAATTCAAACAAACAGTAACAATAACACTTTGGATGAAGGTCGTGGCGCGAATTGCCGTTGCGTATGGCAGATTTCGGAGTGCTTCACCGTAATGAGTTGTCAGGCGCTTTGACTGGTCTCACGAGGGTACGCCGCTTCCAGCAGGATGACGCGCATATTTTCTGCACGCACGAACAAATCAAGGACGAAATACTGGGGGCCCTTGAGTTCCTTGACCACGTCTACTCCGTTTTCGGCTTTACGTTCAACCTGTGCTTGTCCACGCGGCCTGAGAAATACTTGGGCGAGCTCGAAGTCTGGAATGACGCCGAGAAGGCACTCTCTGATAGTCTTGATGCTTTTGGCAAGCCCTGGACCCTCAACCCCGGTGACGGTGCCTTTTATGGACCCAAGATCGATATTACCATTATGGACGCGTTGAAGAGGTCACATCAGTGCGCAACCATCCAACTAGACTTCCAATTACCCATACGTTTCGATTTGAACTACGTCAAGTACGTATTATCTGTCATGTTTATTGTAGGGAGACAATGTTAAAGGACTGGTTGAATTAATTTTTCCTGTACTCTTCTCAGCGAGGCTAACGAGAAAATACGCCCTGTAATAATTCACCGTGCAATCTTAGGTTCCGTCGAACGCATGATTGCCATTCTTACCGAATCTTACGCCGGCAAGTGGCCGTTCTGGTTGTCGCCTCGTCAAGCCATGGTTATACCCGTGGGCCCGTCAATTGATGAGTACGCCGTACAAGTGAAAGATAAGTTGTACGAAGCAGGTTTCAGAAGCGAAGTAAACACCGATCACGGTGAGACTTTGAACAAGAAAATCCGAAACTCCCAGCTCGAGCAATTCAACTTTATTCTTGGTGGGTTGATGATTTGGCAATCTCATGTCTGAAAAGAATAGTGATAATTGCGGTATTTGATCGTTTTTTTTTTTTTTTGTGTGGTTTTAGTGGTTGGAGAGAAGGAAAAGGCTGGTGGCACTGTAAATGTCAGAACAAGAGATAACAAGGTGCACGGCGAAGTCGAAGTAGATGCTCTGATCAAGAGATTCGATGATTTGAAAAACAAGAAAACACGTGAATCCGAGGACGGCAGTAATACTTCGGATAAATAATTTTAAGCTTTCTTGGGCATTTATTTCCATTTATATAATAAATTCATAGGCATTATTTAATATTTATGGCCGTTCCTGTTTTCAGCTCGACTTGAATCACTTTTTTACATTCGCCATGATCTAGTTAAAATGTATTTTACACCATTGCCGATTATTTTATGAATATCTGCAAAACAAAAATAAAATTACTTATCTACACTTGATATTTGTCGTTTCGTTCTTGAACTTTCGCGTTGTTCCAGCGAAAAAATTGTGCACTAGAAGAGCGATAAATGCGATCTATTGAAATAAATGGAAGACCTTGTTTTTAAATTTTCATTTTATTTAATTCAATTTTTTTATTTAACATTTATATGATTATGATTTTTTACAGATAAATCGTACTGCGACATAAGTTGATAATTATTTACAAATTTTTTTAAACAATACGTTGAACGCACAATCACAATCGATAAATTATACAATAAAATCATTAACACAATAAAATAAATCTTAAATTTGTAGGAATCACGAAGATAAAATTAAATGTTTTTAAAATCATTACAATTTTAATTTTTGTCATACAAGTTTGGAAGACTGTACATTTTACCATACACCGATTTCCGATGGTACAATAAATTTTCGAATTTTAAGTATTGATAAAGTTAACGACAAATACGTCGCACTGTGACTCATTCGAAAATATTGTCAAATCTTAAAAATTCATACCTAATCAAATCACAATAAGAACATTAAAAATTATCGAGTACAAAAAAAAAACAAAATGATGATGGTAAGTTGTATTTATTTACTTATGTACGAGTCAGACGTAATAATTAAATTAAACGAATTGGAGATCATTGTGACATTTGAGTAGAGTAAATCACCGACTTGGTGACTTTCATCAGTCATTTCCTCGCACTGGACTCACCCATTGCTTGTACACTCGCTGTAAAATTAACACACCCTCGGTTGTACATGTACATAAGAATCAAAATCATCGAAATGAATGAGTTAACGAAGATCTGCCACTTCATCTAATGTAAAATCATCTATATGTATAAATAGCTGGCCATAGTAGTGTCATTATTGTGGTTTTTATACGGCTAACTTGATTATGCTTTTGTAAATGTCAATATACACTGTGTGAAAAATTTTTGCATTTGAGGGAAGTAATTTGAAACTTACGCATTGTAAGTATAAACATGTCGAAAATTCTTCGCCTTCAACGGAAGAACGCAATTTTTTTGTGTTATCAAACCAGTAGTAAACAGAGAGGAAGAGGGCATATAGAGAGTAGGTAATCGATCAGTCGGTGTATTAGTAACTGGGAATCATGAGATTCGCAGTCACGTGTATAAAATACGTATGTATATACGCAAATAAAAACGGAGTCATGTCGAGTCATGATGAATAAATGATATACCTACATAACACAACATGTGTATATATATATATAATATATATGTCGAGGAAAATATATTTATATACTATACATGAATAACACGCGTTTTGCGCTTAGAAAAATACCATAAACGCTCGCAAACGCTAAACAAATCGGTAATATAAGTATTGTACCAGCTTTCGAATTTTTCTAGCTGCACTTGATGGAACAGCTGCCCATAATTATACATACACCCCCGTACAGTGATAATGGTTGAGCCTTCGATCATCGATTCCCAACCAGACTAGAAGCAGCGATTATTTTTATTTCACATCACGTGCTCAAGTAGTTTATTTCTACTGCAACTGTAATCTCAAATTTTGTCGCGTTTGTATTACACTTATGTCGATCATATTTAGAACTATACTTTATGTTTTTATTTAAATATGCGTAGGTATACTTCAGCTCGGCATTATGAGTATTCTTACTGTTTTCATCGCTATTATATTATCATTATTATTGTTTACCTTTTTTTTTTTTATGTTAATATCATTATTACTCTATTTTTTGATAGTGAATGTATTGCTTATAGTGTGTTCATTTTGTCATTGTTTCCTTATTACTAATTTTATCTCCTTTTTTTTCCCCTCCCTGTGAAGTATAACTTTTTGTCTTCTTGTTGCTACAGCAAAGTCGATCGAACTTCATAATTTGTTAGGAAAAAAAAAAACAAAAACAAAAACTTTTCCTACCTTCACAGAAGATAAGAAATACTTCCGGTAAGAAGTTCGACATCAAAAAGTTGCGAACGATCATGGAAAAATTCGCCAAAGCACTGTATGTTGTTGCTAGCAGTTAAATCAATAATCAGGAAACAATAATAAATAATGACAATTCTGACGAGTACAGTCCAAAAACCTTCGACTCAACATTTTACAAAGAACTGGACTAATGTAGACAATGTTTAATTTCCTCTTTTTGCACTGAATGAATGTCAATTTTCTATTATTACGTGTTTGTTTTTTTTCAACTCTACAGTACACTAATGTTGGTGATGCTGTGTTCGCTCGATTGCTTGCTCCCTTATTCCTCATTGCCCTGTACACGCAGCGACATTTTATTCACGTTTTTCTTCTTGTTTTGTTAAAATTAACACCTACTGTCCTACGCGGGGGAAAAAAGTGATCTAGTATCGATCCGTTTTCGTTTTTCTCAGGGGGTGGAAAGGGGTTTCACTACAAACTCTTAATTTTGAAATAATTGCCTCACACTTACTACAAACGCAAGCGGTTAATGCCTCGACTTTGATTTGCCACTACAGGACAGCTTTATTATGGTTTCGTTATCTCACTACCACCCAGTAAGAGCTGAAACTCTTGAGCAAAATCATCGTGACGGGATGACGGGGGTCGTAGCAACGGCGCCGAGGACTCAGGTTTGGACAGCAGAGCTCGTCGGCCTCTGGAGTCAGCGCGGCTTCACCTGTGACGAACAAAACGAATCGGTAAGAAAACAAGGGAAACACCGATCTCCAAAATAAACGTGGAGACACGTACCTCGTGATCGGTTGGCTGGTTGCAAGCTGCAGCTGAGCTGGCCGACTGTAGCAACTGTAGCGGAGAAGCTGGGGCCACTGATGCTACCGTCGGCTGAACTGCTCCGAGACTGTTTTGCTGCTGCAACTTGGCCACTGGCGACTGGTTGGGGCTCGGCTGCTCACTTCGGCGGAGAAATGCAGCCGCGGCAGCTGCAGTGGTCACCTCCTTCTTGGGCGGAACGATGGGCTTGTTGGGTGGCACGGGTGGCGGTACACCCCGGGCCGATAATTTGACCGCAGCTGTTGTCGTCGTTGACGTTGCTGGTGCTGGTGGTGGTTGTTGGCTTGGGATGCTCGGTGTGGGCAGCACCAGTGGCCGCTTGTGCTGCAGCGCCTGCGATAACACACAACAACCGCTGTGTCTCAGAGCCTCCCCTTTTGGAGCTCGGCTTACTTTTTTTTTTTTTTTTTTCATGTTTTCACATCCTTAGGATCACCAAAGCGATAAAAAAAAAAAAAATCGTAAAGCTCGGCCGACAAGCAAGTGTGCAGAAATATTAATACCTACCTCCTGCGAGTGGGTGTACAACAACCGGTTTACCTCTAAACCATCGTTAATGTTTTCAAGTACTACGTAAAATTGCGATGCAGAGCAAAAAGAGTGTGTGCGTGTTTTTACAGTGTTACGATTGCTGTTTAAATAAATAAATATAGTCCAATGCCATAGTGATTCTTGACTCATTCGTACGGAGCGTGTGTTTCTTTAAAGTAAAAACGTGTGCACCTTTGTGTAAATTTTTCATTTGTGCGAGCAAACAAAACGCAAAATAACATCCAAGGCATTCTGACGAGTGCTTTTACATAGATACCAGAGGATAAGTATATATAGAAGGGTGACAAGTTGTACATAAATAAAGCACGTAAATCAATTGTGTGAATTCAAGTTTAATAAATCAAAATAATATGTACAAATCTAAATGTTAAGCTTGGCGCTGTGTCGTTTGTACAAGAAATAAGGAAAACCAAAATGGTGCGTGATGTAACATAAAAAAAAAATCATATAGTTTTCTTAAGGATAATTATATTTCAAATTAACATGTCCAAAGGGAGGGAAAACTTTGGGTGTGAAAAAATTTCGATGTTTAACATTGCATTTGTTCGACTGTCAGTGATAGTGCAAAGATAGTCAAGCAATTAAACTAATAAAATTAAATTAATCATGCAGCTGTAGTATACATTTTGTGAATATAATTGGCACAGAGATGCTAGTCTTAGAAGGTTCTAATTTTTACGAGCCAAGCAAGGTTTGCTTAGACTATTTGAATCTTCCATTTATACTTTCATTGTTTGAACTACTAAGTTAATAATAATATAAATATAAATTTACGAATTTTGAAATTGAAAATACATTTTAACTGTTGCAGCCTTAATTTCTGACTAATTCAAGATACATAATTTACTAAAGTTTTTTCTTAACTTAATTTGATCTAAAGAATTTTGTAGAACGTCAGTCACACTTAAACTATGTTTATAATGAAAAAAAAAAAAATTATTTGGTTTATAAAACTAGTAGATTAGAAGTAACTAAAATCTAGTTACGATTTTTGTTATATAATGTTTTAGAAAGGAACCCAAATTATACATTTTTACAATTTAATAATTTGAATGTAAAGTTGTATAAACAATATCAATCAAATTAAAAAAAAAACTTAGTTTTTATAAAACGATGGTTCATATTAACCTCAAACGTAGAATTTAATAATAAAAAGTAGGGTATAAATGTTATACATCAAATACTCTATTTCTTGTAAACTATAGCCTCATCGAGAACATTTTTTAACTTAAAACTTATAACTGATTTAATATTCTAAATACCTTTATTTCAGCATAAGAAAATATGAATACTTCGAAATTTTGAAACTTATAGTCGTTAAATTTTAATTTACCTAGTTCATTCAAAAGCAAGCTAGACTATGCGGTGATTTAGAATCACCATATTGATTTTTAAACAAAGCAAAATAAAGAAACGAAGATAAACGCTGCCATTCCTGCTTATATTAGCGTCGTGTGATTAGAAAAATGTGGATAAGTTACCTGGGCAGCAGTAGCAGACTCTATTGTTGGAGGTGTGACTATAGCCGAGTCGCCAAGGCTGGACGAGACACTCGAACCAAATACAGCGCCACGCAACGCTTGTCCTGGAGTCACAGATCTGGCTATACCAGTAGCTGAAATAATGATAATCACCCAATGGTTTACCAATTTTTCAAAAAAAAAAGGATCTACTCTATCTTCTTTTCCTTGTACTGAAACTTACTTGGTCCACTAACTGGTACACTAGACACGGTAGCAGTTGGTTGCACTACTTTGCTGCTAACCATTGGAGTTCCAGCTCCCAAAACTGCTCCTTTAACTATAATATACAAATGAAAATTGTTATTGCCAGCCAAATTTCTGTATTTTAACCAGTTTATGATCATTACCTTGCGGAGAAGCGCCTCTGAGTGTAGGCATAGCTGCGAGATTGGCGGGCTTAGCCGGTGGTGGAGGAGGAGTCACTCCAATAGTCCTCATGCCTCCTCTAGCCTGCTGTTCTTTGAGTACCTCGAGCTCTGACCGAAGTTTTTCAATCTCTGCTTGTTGCTCCATGAGTTTTTTGTCCTTGTTTGCTGTACTTTGGCGGAACTGCGATCTTTCTATATCAAAATGAGCCTGCTGCTTTTCCATTTCAGCTTCCATGTGCAAGGCCTTTTTACTCTCCTCCTCAAGTCCTTCCGCCATTGTATCTGCGCGCACCTGCAGGAAAAATATAGTGAGCAGTTATGTATTGCATTATTTGAGTATTCCCTACAAATCAACGACAAACGAACCTTTTCTTCGCTCAGAATCTGAGCAAGATCCTCAGACCGTTTGCGTTCCTCTATGTATTTTAAAATTATTTTCTTCCGCTCTGCTAGGAGTATAAGAACGATTTGTCTGTGACGGGTTTTTTCTTCCTCTAAGGTGTCACTTATTTTTTTAGCTTCGGCTTCAAGGCGCTTTTTTTCTTGCTTTTCCGTCTCCAAAACTTTTTTCAATCGCATTTTTTCCTTCTCATGATCATGCGTTGTATCATCACCCTGAGTTGGGGTGTTTTCGTTTTTTTGCTTCTCTTCTTCCAGCTCTTTGATAACCTGATTAAAAAATCATAAAAAATTAAAATTTACAATTTAATTCATCAATTCCAATTGCAAACTTTCATACAGACCATGTGATGTCTAACTTCAGCATTTTTTAGTACTCTAGCCATATGATTTTTCATTTGTCTCTGGCGTGCTATCAAAGTTTCCAGGGCTGACGTCAGTTGATCAGTTTGACTTCCTGGTGATCCATTAGCACCTCCCAAAATGGCTACATCTCTAGCAAGAGCAGAATGGGGATCTGTGGTCCCGTGACGATATTTTGAATTGAGAAGGTGCTTCATTTTTTCCGACTACCAGTAAAAATCAGCATTGAGAACACATTTATTTCGATCGATTGTTATTGAATGGCAGATTTTACTGACCTTTAATGCTGCTATAACCACGTCACGAGCTTGCAATTCACCTTCCAAGTAACCAAGTAACTTCAACAAATCTGTTTTGCACAACTCCATTTTCGGATTTCTCTGAAAAATCCAACAATTATCGTTAAAATAAGACGAGGAAATATTATTTATCAAAGTAAAGGAAAAAAAAAAAAAAACAATTCCAGTGGTTTATATTCTGAAAAAAAAAGGTTTATAAATAAACTCCAAGTGCTTGATAACCGATGCAGCTAATAAAATTGGCACTATCGCCTAGATAGAGTTGCGTTTCAAGTGACAATCATAAACAAATCCAGCAATGTTAACACGAGTACAATTGAAAGATAAAATTAGAGCAATAAAGCCGGATGGTAAACACAAAAAGAGCAGCGGATTCAAACAACAATAACAAAAAGAGAATAGGACAAAGCCAACCTTGAGAGTGTTGGAGGTGCTCTTGTTCAACGGGTCAAAATTGTTGGTCTGCTGGGTAGCCGGCGACGACGATGCACCAGCAACAGCAGCATTGACGACCGAGAGCGGCATCTTGGAGGCGGTAGCAGCCATAGCTGCGACTCCGGATGGTCCGTTGGCTGTAATGGTGCCAGCAGTAGTATTATTAGCAGTAGCACTGCCCTGATGACTACTGGACATTATACGCTGGACCTCTTTGATATGTGCAGGGTATGCTGTTGTTATTTGTTGACTGTACTGATCGTTCATTCATATATGTTTACGCACGGAGGGTATAGGGACAGTACGTGTTTGTTCAATGACGGACCAGCCTCCTGGGGATGATGATGATGATGATGCGGTCGGGCTGTGCCTCCCCCGAAGGCAGCCTTCTCGGACTGTGTAAAGCCGCGGTAGCGGAGCGCAATCAACATTCTCCGCTCCTTTTGTGTGATATTACTTATGCTTTTTTTTTTTTTTTTTTTTCAGTGAACGCTAACTTGCAGTCCTGGACCACCGTCGTCACGAGCATAGTTCAAACGACCACGACGCAATGACAAACATTGCTGTGCAAGTAAAACACATAAAAAAAAACACGATTCGCACTTTTACTACTCAAGTAAGATATTAGATTTGTTCAAGACGTGCCGCTGCCCATTTTCTTGCTCTTATGGATCTTATACAGCCTTGCAGCCCGATTAGATGCAAATAATGGAACTCATCATGGTTTGAGTATCATCTTCCTTCTTCAGCCCTGCGTTTACTTTTTTACTTGTTATCTATCCTTGGTGTGTGCGCAGTGAAAGTATACACACACAACACAAGCCTGCATGACAAGCCAGAAAAGCCACAACACAAAACGCAACAGCATATACACAACACAGATCACAGCATCGCTATCACAGTAAAGTAATTTCGGAGTCACACACGCAGAGTATACCTATTTAGGAAAATGTATGCTTATAGGTATATGGCGGTGATGGTTATTTTTCCCCACAAGAGAGAGCACACACGGTTCATGCATGGATTCGTCGGCTTGACGGCTTCCGACTTGCGCCTTGCACTTATGTGCATTTACAATTTCCTCCCTCCTCCGGCCGAGTACGTAAAATGCGTACAACCTTTTCCCGGCACGTATCTTTTTATTTGCATCAAACATGAGGTGATGATTATATCTTTTTCTCATAAACTTATTTCGCACCTAATAAAAAATACGACACTTGGTGCAATTATTCACACTGTACTTAGTAGTACCTAGTGAAATACTTTTTTTATCACAGCCTCGCTAAAATTTTTGTTGCCACATTATATGTCAGACCACAATAAAATATAGGCGTGTAAGGCATAAGTATCATATATATATATATAGTATATATACGTATGTTAGGCAAATCATCATCCTTACATTAATTTTCACATTGTTTTTTCACACCATGTCCCATTTTTACATAAATTTTCGTGTAACTGTGTTACACCAACATTTGCTTTTGACACGGCCTTCTAGTCCTTATATGATAATTTTGGTAATAATTAACAACTATACTTGGTAGTTTTTAAGATGTACACCATTAGTGAAAAAGAGTGCCAACCAAAATAAAGGTCATGAAGCTTTAAATTACCTACTGGTCATGATACACAACTCTAATTAGCTGAAACAATTAAGTTCCATGTAAGTATAGGTTCATCTAGATTAGAAGATACGAATTTTATAGGGTACACCATAAAGATATTTCAAGTACCTACTATATATATCAACAAACTGCTTTTAATATAATCCTCAAAGAACTTGATGGTCGACACTTTTTTCGAACATATTTTACGAATTGAAAGTAAAGTCAATATCTAGAATTAAGTAAGCAATTGATTGTGAAAAAAAAAAAAAAAAAAAAAACGGTAATTTTTTACTCAGGATGCGTTGACAAAACTAAAAATTTCTGAAATATTTTAGATTTTAAAATCTTGGTAAAAAATAGATTCGTAAAACTGCAGACTTGTCACCTCCACATAAGATTTATGATTTCTATTATTTTTGAAAATTTTTTTTTATTTTTCATTAAAAAACTTTTTAAAAAATTTTACCAGAACTCATAAAATACGCATTACATGAAATGACATGAAGATACTACATACGTGTATGTAACGAAAATTACCTTTACTACTACATTGACGGAAATTTCATTGATTTTATGTAGTTGGTTTTAAGCATATATATGTTATTGATATTTCTAAAAATGACTTTTCTGAAAATTGGATAAGCAGTTTCATAGTTATGAGTAAAAAAAAAATGTTAATTTTTACAATCAATATCCTAAAAAAATTAGTATTGTACGTTGCGAGGTAAGTATCTATTTCAATGACGGAATGATCTTCAAGATTGATGAATAATAATAATAAATAATTTTTTTTTGAAATTTTTTAACAGAAAATAATATAAAAGCCCCAAAGAGTATTAATTTAAGTATAAAATAAAAAATGAATTTTGAAATTTTCTAGATAAATAGAAAAACTACGATATCAGGCCCTTGTACAGGGGAAGAAATTTGTGGATATGTTATAAACGTGACGTATAAACTTTAGGGCTCTTAGTTTAGTCTTGTAAAAAATGTAGCTCGATAATTTTTGACTTTTTTCATCATTGCCTGGTACGTTCTCTTGTACTACAAAAAAATTTGAGGTGATATACATTTCCAAATTTCTTTTCGTATTGTGTTCATAAGAAGACCTCGACATGTTGTTTCATAAAAAATTATAATACATTTAATACGTTGAATATAAAAGGTCATGGGACAAAAAACAAGTTGTTGCGGTTTAAAATACTGTATAAATCATCTACAATTTGTTTCATATTATTTTATCATTCATGTCATCAATGTTATTTAAATACCTACGATTTTTTTTTATTTAACTTACAACTATGGTTGATTAAAATACTTGAACAAAATAGCAATAATATCACTTTAAATCAATAATAACCGTTAATGGTTAATATAAAATTACTAGTTCGCGAATTCAACGTTATTTACATTAAAAATATGACACACCACCTTGGAATAACATATAAACATTTAATGAAATTAAAAAAAAAAAAAAAAGTATGAACACGCCAGTGGTCTGACTCCCCCAATTTCACTGGTCTCAGCGAGCGACTACGTTTTTTTTTCGACATTACGTCGTAGCAGCTCAAGCCAAGCCTCTACCCATGGGTAGGTCCTCGGGTAGGTCAGAGCTAGTGTGCACACAACTCTGACGATTGAAAAGCTAATTCGGCTATATATACTAACCAAGTACTTTTTTCGCCACTCACGGGAACGGCACCGGAGCCACGCGGTTGGAGACGCAATCACAACAGCAGCGTTGTCTATCCATTGTCGGTAACCGCTAATAGAATGCTGTAGTATACCTATATGTGGCAAAGCAAGACGTATATATACAAACTTACCATCTACCCAAATTGGTATAGGTAATACTAAGGCGTTCTATTAGCGGTTATCGGTCACCCTATAATACTAGTATATAATAGCTATTATTATTCATAGTATGATGTAGTACGTACATAACATCAAAAATTTGGTTTTGAACTTCTGGATGCTTAAATTCCTATAATTTTACATATTCACACAACGAAAGTTTTTTTAATTTGAGTTTAAATAATATTACAGATAAATTTAAAATAAATCATTGCAAAATTTTCATGGTTTTAACTGTGAAGTACATGATATCAACCCCATACTAAATTAGACCTGATTTTACCTTTGCACGTGATAACCCACCCGCGCAAACTTGCGGGATTTGAGTAGTTTCTGTATGCATACATATTTGTTTTGAAAAAATTGTAACGACATATTAAATGAAGTGTGTTCACACTGTGGCGATGATCTAAATTGATAATATTTAACTTGTTTGTTCTTTCAAAAGAGAAAAATAGACAAAAATTTGTATTTATGGATCATGGAATATACAAATATATAGAGCAATCACAATATGATTTAAATCGCCCGAGGCGCGTCAAACGTAACTAGTATAAGAAGGAAAGGAAAAAATTTCTGCGAAAATGAGTATACCTTTGCAGTCGCTGCTCCTCTGTGGGTCCGATGCAACAAAGTTTTAAAAACCTTTATTGTTCGAGGCTCGAACTGCAATATGTTAAAAAATAAGATGGAGATATTGAATATTCAGAGTTTGGTAAAAAAAAGGAAACATGTAATATGCGTACGTAAGTACGTGTGTATCAATTGTGCTTCAAACGTTATTCAGTGAACTTTGATTTTAAATGTAATTTAAAAAATAAAAAATGTGTTAACATAAGATTTTTATTATACTCATAAAATAAATAAAATTTTTCTTTATGTTTACTATTTTTTTTACATTAAATTGCGTGTTTTTATTACCAACACAAAAGCCTCAAAATACTACCTGTGTATCTGATTCTTTGATGTTTTTTCTGTTAAATTGAGGTCCAAGTGCACCCGTCTTTTTGTTAAAATAAAGTTTTTAATACCGATTAATTTCAGCCAAATTGATTTATTCACGTTTTACTTTATGTAATTTATTAACATAAATGATTCAAAATTATAAAATTTCAAAACTTTCTATTGAAAATCTTATCTGATAAAAATTGTAA